CGGCCCCCGGCCCCCGCCCCGACAGAGAAGCGGATCGGAATTGTAAATTACTAGCCTAGAAGTACTTATGTATAGGTATTATAGTATAATTGATAAATATATAAGAAAAAGATATTTTTAATTACGATTGAATAATGTTTCGTTTCGCTGCCACAAGCATAGATATGTTGGAGGTCCATTGTGAGGAAGTTTTTATTTCTCCGGCAACACTTTCATGTGTACGGTCACTGCACTGACAAAGCTCTCGACAATAACCTCGTCGATGGACTTCTGATGTTATTCAACATTTATACGACATTTTAAACGATGGACGCGATAACGAGAGTCACGGCCAAGATGTCCGCACGATTCGCGTCCTCGAAACATTGCCGCGACTTATATTCGCCGGTGGCAGAGATGAGGCGAGACATGTATGGATGTATGGAGAATGTAGTGAGGAGGCGAGTGGTGCGCGGTGTACTTGGCGCTTGTTATAAATGCGTGGGCTCGTCGCGAGCGGCCATATTATTTATTGAATGCATGCATTTATAGAGAACGAACGACCAAACAAGATGGCTGCTAACTTAAGAATGTACTTAAGGGATATTATTTTTTGTTCTCTTTGTACCAAAACTCCAGTGAAACTTTATTGGTTTGACGTTTTAGCCTAATCTACGCTCGGTCGTAGTTTATTTTTTATTTTTATATACTTTTTATTTTTTATTCGGTAGCTATTTGTTAAAGATGTTTCGATGAAGTACTTATGTAACTGTGATGTGACGTCACACAACATTTACTACATGAACATTACCGTTGTGTTTCTGTGCAGTAAATGTTGTCGCAATCAAGTTAATTTGACAAAATATTTTTATGTTCTACGTAATTTTATATTCGATCATGAACTTATATTTATTAATTAATATTTTCCATGACAAGATCACATCATGAAATATTTACTGACTTACATATATAAAGAATATCATGAAATGTATGGAAATAATGATATTGCCTGTATTTTCCGAAATGTGAGGTAAATTTTAAAAATAATCGGGTGCTTTTTGGCCTAAACATATCTCACTATTTGGGAGACATGCGGTGATACAATTTTTCCCAAAATTTTAATTTTGTCAAAAAATCAAAAAGACAGTTTTGATTATTTTCTTTCCAATTGAAAATGTGCGCTTTCTATTGCTCTGTATTGAATGAATCATTGTATTTGATTGATTTATAAGATTATCTGTGAACAAGGAAGCGCGAGCAAGTTGACTTTGTAAATATAATTTTGATAAAGCTCAATACTGGAATGCACATTTGATCAGATATTCATTTTGTAATGTTTGTGTTTATGAGATGACAGTTGTTTGTGTCGGCGACAAGACAAGACAAGACATATAGAAACAATTACAATATGTACTAGATAAGTAATCGCTTAGATTATGAGTAAAGTACAATATTGCTAGTTGTTTCCTGATGTAGTTGTGTTCGCGGAGCTTTGTATTATATTGTGTAAGTTCTCCGCCGTCTCTGTCTACGGACACGAAGGGGATGATAAAGATCAACCCCCAACCTTTGTACTTTTCGTTATAAATTTTTAAAAAATTTCTTATTGAAAAAAGTTCAAAATATTTTTTTAGTATTCGTATGTTAGTACGTAGGCCACTTAATCACTTGCGACTCTTTAGTTTAGCTTAGTTGACTTTCTCTTCCATATAGAATTTAATTTAAGTTTTTTTTTATAATTATAATGATTTGTTGTCTGTACGCGTGTCGTAAACGTACGAGACGACTTTATGTCGGTACATATGAACCCATAATTTATTTGCAATATTGAAGCTCAGATTTTGAAGAAACCGAAGGTATTTTTTTCTGTTCCGTTGCATCGATCCTGGAGATTGTGTACAAAACGAGGCTTATTCGCAATGTATTTTGTTAATTTTGTTTTATTTTTTTCTGTTTCGGCCGCGGCGCCGCCACACTAGCGCCATCACTACAAATGCATAGTTTAAAATGATTATAATTAAACAAGAAAGCTCTAATTATAAAAATGAATAATATTAATTAAATATAAATGTGCCATTCATTTTGCTATTTATGTGTTTTATTTCTACGTCACTGAGATGCACAAGTGTCATGTGATGCCGCGACTCCGTGTGTTGTTCCAGATTATGTTCTACATGCCCAATTTAAGCGAGATCCATACAGCTGTTCTGGATATATCTTTTAACAAACATTTATCTATCCATCAATTCAAACATTCGCACTTATAATATTAGTAAGATAAGCACATGGTAATCGACTGAGGTAGGTAATGGTAGGTAAACAAAAAAATATGGTTTAAAACAACTTTATTCCTTTAATAAAATGGATAACAAACTGTAATCCTTACGAAAATGTTGAGCTTTTACACTTTTATAATGTTTGTACAATTGTTTATTGACTGAAATATCCAATTCTATGTGTTTAGTGAACTTTAATGAAATATAAAGAGAGTACATAAGTAATATAACAACATAGGTAGACATCGGTTACCGCCTGTCCGTCTTGCCGACACCGCGCTTGCCCGCGAACAGATGTTTGGGCATCTTGGTGCCGATGAAGCGATCCGCTTCTCCCTTCAGACCCATCCTCTTCGTCTTCTTCGCGATCGCAACGTGCGCCATCTTCTTTGCTCTCTTTTGCATCTGTACAATACACCAATAAAACATACTGAGTAATTTTATTGTTATACTGACAATCAGTCATCAAATTGTTTACGTAAACAGTAGTCTAGAGCAGATTTTTCATATAAAACCACTAGATCCCCCTCAGTGGCCTATAAACGAGACTAAGCAAGACTTCAGATAATATAAAATGTGTTACATATAAGGAGATACATACAGCGACATCCTTGACACCCTGCGTGTCTCTGGGCGGGCGGGAGACAGTGCGGTCAGTGCGGTCAGTGCGCGCGCGCTTCGCCGCGGGGGCGGACAGAGAGCGCGACCGCGACCGCGACCGCGACTGTGTGCGTGTGAAGTGCGCCTCCTTCGTCTCCGACATGTCCACACCTGCACACAATTATAATACATTTATCAAACAAATCAATTATTTAAATACAAGTGGCTCAAACATGAAGCTGTGTACAAAGTAGATGTAGATGTACTGACCCAGTTTCTCCATCTCGTCCCTGAGCTTGTTGGTGGAGCGGTCTCGTGCTCGCGCGCGACTGGTGCGCGGCATCACAGGCTTCGTCGACTGCTTCGTCAGCCGAGACTCGTCCTTCAGGATCGCCTTCTTGTTGCTGTTGTTATATAACATGTTTAAAATCACATGAGTAGTTTTATTACAAAAAATTAAGTCATTTTTTATAAATGATATCTAATTGTGGGTTCTAAATCGAAATATTCGTATAAAAAGATTGATTGAGCAATAGAATCCAACAATTATGATTTATAACAGACCGTATCTGTGTGGCGAGCTGCCGGATCTCGCGCATGGTCTCGTCCAGCTCAATCTTGGGCACGGCGTACATGCCGCCCGCCTCCCGCACCTCCTCCTCCTTCTCCAGCTCGGCCAGTTTCTGCAACACGACACACACAAACATTTATATAACAAAACACGTTTCGACCGAATATCAACATTTTAAATTAAAAGTTGCAATTTAAGCACGGATTAGTTATGAGTAAAGCTAGAAAAAAACGAGCTAAATATTTTGCTTGTTATTTGACCAAAGTAAATAAGTTATTACTGTTAGACGTGTTTTAAAAAGAAATGTGGAAGTATATAGAGTTGTAAGTATTTACTGACGTCGAATATATCTGGGTCGATGTAGTCAGCGATGTTGTGACCCTCCCAGAACTCGGGGATGGGGTCGTGTCGCTCCTCCTCCGGGATCTCGGAATAGTTCTTCTGCAGATCGAGCACGTAGTCGTCTCCTTGCTCGAGTTCGATCTCTCTCTCGAGCTTGCGCTTCCTGTTCTCCTTGTTGGCGCGCTGCTGCAGACGCGCGGCGGCGGCGGCAGGGATCACAGCCGGGCGCGCCTTGCCGTCCCGTGCTGCCGGCACCGCCACGTGCAGACGGTTCAGGATACCGTCCACCTAACATACAACATATAGCTTACCTTTATACTATATGCCCGAACACAACAAAACATTCTTCAACGAAAATTACATTTATGGCGACATCATCAAAAACATGATCCATGTATCAGTTAAGTTTAAAGCAAATGAACTAATGCATTCGGTGCTTACAACTAAACTTGAAAGTAAAAATTCTTTATATAAGCAAAAAATATGTATCAGATGTGTGTACAGTAGCTTACCTTCTTGGTCCTCATCTTCTCAGTGACGCGATGTGAGAGCAGACGCTCGCAGGCTTCAATCTTCACCTCCTGCACTCCCTCCTCCGTGACAGTGGACATGCGCATCACCGGCACTGTGCGCAACTCTGAGTTTGAATCCACGCTGCAACACACAAACAAACAATATCATAATACTAATATTATAAATGCGCAAGTTTTCTTTAATTCCGCGCCGACAGACTCGCGGGCTACAGCTAGTTACTAATAAAACTAAACTAAAAAATATTCTCTAATTTTGGGAAAAACATGAAATCAATTCATCTCCAGGTCAGAAGCCACAAGCTAAATATTATCTTCCCACCAATTGGTAAAATGTCCTGGACAGAAGTATCCAAGACAGACTTTATATAAATATGCAATGTGTGTAACTCACTTGACCAGATTGCCCTTAGCGCACACCTCCTCCAGCTGCTGGATGAGCTGCCTCTTGCCCTCCGGCAGCTCCTCCGGCTTCACCACGTCCATCTTGTTCATCACCACAATCAGCGGCTTGTTGCTGAACAACGGCTTTATACTCTCAAATAGTGATATCTGAAAACATACATTATTTTAGTTAGCACTGACTCAAGTAACTTTCCCTTTGGTTATGTTAAATCTCCATTGATGTTTCGTGTTAACGGTGGGTCACTGAGACCTCAATCTCCGTTAAATATATAACTGTTTTGTGGGATGATGAGGGATGACAATATATATTAGGCTCAGAGACCCACGGTTAGACCCACTATTTTGATTTGATGAAACATTTAACGATAAACTGTTACATCCAGCATTTGATTTGTCAAGTCGTAGAAAAGAGAATTATTCCTCATATGTCAAAACACATATATGTATGTGTACCTGTTCCTCAATGCTGTGTCCGCACTGCTCGGAGGGGTCAATGAAGTAGAGCACAGCTGCACGCAAATGCGCGAGTGCAGTCACCGCCTGCATCTCAATCACATTGCGCTCCTCCAGCGGGTGGTCGAGGATTCCAGGAGTATCTATCACCTGTAATATTTGGTATATATCATATATACTGTTTGAAATAAACATCAAAAATATATTTATTTTAAGCGAGTGAACGAGATAGCTGTCCGCTTGCTCCGGTGTGAATGAGACGATTGTATGGAGGTGAACGTGCTTCTATGATAAAATTATCAAAGTCCCTTGGATTCTTGCTTAGGTTTCACTTTATGTAGAACTTTTTCATAACTTTTAAATTAAATAAATAGTTTCATAATGTAATAAGTAACCTTTACTTATAATTTAAATACTTTGTGAATGTTAAAAATATGTAATTTAGTTACTAACCTGCCACCTAAGGTATTTGTAGTCAGTGTGTCCTACGTACAAGCTCTTTGTTGTAAATGCGTACGGTTGTACTTCTACATCTGCTCTTGTGATCTGAAAGTTATACATACATACATATTATTTGTTCCTGCATAATGAATGCTATAATGACAATCATTTGGACATTTTTACCAGTTACGAAATTTTCAAATAAAAATCAAAGACTTGTACAGCCCCAGACAAAAGATAGTGTCATATATTGTAATTCTTATTTCAACAGATCCAAAGAAAAGTGTTAAATCTCTTAAGAAACGTAACCGTTTTTGTAGGTTCGATTCAGTTGTGGTCGTTTTCTAGTAGTACCCCAGGTACACAGGAAAATTTACTTAACTGAACATTATAATTTTTATAAAAAAACATACCTTGTTGATAAAACTGGATTTGCCAACATTGGGGAAGCCACAAATGATGATTGTTCTTGTATACGGGTCTATAGAAGGTAACCTCGCCAAGTGTTGTCGGACCTAGACAAATTACAACATCGGTAAAGTTATTTTTCCCTTATTTAAGGATAACTTAATCTAAAGTCACATAAGTAAATTACAAAATAAAGCAATTATCTGAAAATTTCTATTTTAAATTACCTGTATACCTCAAAATCTGACCTTGTAACTTACAATAACTTAGCCTTTTATGTTTTTTAAAATATAAAAAAAATGTACCTGTTCCAAATATGTAAGATTGGCGCCTTGTCTTTTCATAATGGTGGCCATCCGACCCAGGGCTGCTCTTTTGAGCTGTTTACAACGGTATAGAGAGTCTCCATATTTGAGCAGCCTGACGTAATCTTTTGCAACACTGTAATATAATAAATATAATAATGTACACTTTATATAACAAATGTTATCAGAGAAATTCTTGCACCCACTTTGATAAAAAAAAGTATATGCAGTTGAATCTGAATATGAAAAAGTTCAAAGTTGCATGATATTTTTCTAGCTTATAGAGGTTTGTCTCTAACAAGAGATTGTTGATTATAGAGGTTGTCCATTAGGACTGAGCAATGTCTCACGTTTATCCAGTTTGAAATTGTTGTCTATACACTTGAATTGGATGTTTGATCAAAAGAAATTAAAATTGGTCTTACTTATCAATAAGATGCCGTGCGGTGTTGAGCTGACCCAAACCAAGTTTGTAGTGATCTTTGTCATAGAGTACATTCATCAGGTCAGCATAAAATGGGTGAACATCATCAAGTTTTGGGAATTCCTGCAAGGTGGAAAAATCTAATTATACAGTTTATTCCGAATACTTCGGAATTATAATAAGGAATTAAAGACACATGATATATTTCATTTGATTGTGCAATAAAGAATTATGATCTTTTACATAGATATAAATTTAAGATAACAAAGATCAAAAATTATTAAAACAAATGTCTAATAGGTACTTTATCTTAAAAATGTTATACAGATATTGATATCAATAAAAGAAGATATTATTATTTGCTATAAGAGAAACTTACCTGAATAATCCTCGACAAACGATCATGAAAATTTTGTTGTGTAAATTTTACTTTTCTTATATAAAATGCACGTATACGTGTTATTTTATAATGTTTATGCACAACTGTTGGCGTTTTACGTTGTGTTTTTGATAGTATTATATCAATAAAGTCCTAAAAAAATAAAAAAGATTTAAGGTTATATTCCAAAGGTTTACACGGTTGTTTTTCTTTCAGATTTCATTACACTCACCTTGGCTGTAGGAACTACAGCAATCTTCTTAAAGTTGTATAAACTCATTTTGATCTATTTTATTCCTATTTTTGTTTATAATAAAGACTTGCAGAGTCCACACGTAAACACGTGTAGATCTGCAAATTAAAAAGGACGTAAGGAGTACGTCAATGTCAAAACACGACATAAACCAATAAAATACGGAATATAAAATCAGAAAGTTTTCAATAAAACTTGAAAAGAAAGAGTTTGGAACGAAGCTTTTTAATTCATTTATTAATTAATAAATATTATACAGTTATCAAAAACTACAAGCCCAAGGCCAAAATGACCTGAAAGAATAAAGTTGTTTTAAAATTCTCTACTTTTTCGTATTTGGTTTACTCTTTGTTAACCGGTAAGTTTGCAGCACATCACACATGTCAGTGTTTGACAGATTTCGTTTAACATTTACCTATTCCTATTTCAGTTTCTTTTTGCACATCTTGAAATCTAATTCACTTGGACGCAGAAGAGTTTATAGATTTAATAGTTATCTGCATTATGCACTGTTTAAAATAAGTTATTAAAACATTCACCTGTTCTATCCGGGTAAAATTGATTTCTGTAAGTAAAAATATTGCATCATTCCGCTTTTGTTTTTCTTAGTTGTCCGGCTTAGATTAAATTGGAATAATACGGCTTTTGGACAACTATTACGGCGTTTTATATTAATCCTCTGCCTTTGCTTGATCTATCTTGTATTAAAGACGTTAATTCCGTTAGAATTTCGTCCACGAATCGATGAACCTTAATACCTATTAAGTTTAGAATAAAGTGTAAAACGATTAATTTATATACGTCTTAACTACGACATAACAAAAAACACAGATAAAAGAGTATCAATTTCAAGTACTAATTTACATGCCAGAGTGATTAATGTTGCTTAATTTGTAAAGATACTCTGATTAACTTATACAGTGAGTGATGTGTTACGTTGCAGGAAAAATATATCAAGCAATATGTATTCGAGACTCAACAAATTTGGAATTGCGCAGAATCGCCTTCTTCTGGCCAATAGAAAGTACAGTGGCAGTATACTGAAGAAAAAAGAATCATTGTGTTTGCAGCCTGGAAAAGTTAGTCATGGCTTCATTTGCTCTGAAGTTGAACATATTAAGGAATATAATATGACAGCATACTTTCTCACACATGAAAAGACTAAGACTGAATACCTACATTTGGAAAGAGATGATTCTAATAATGTGTTTTCTGTAGGCTTTCGCACCACACCACTTGACTCTATGGGCACCCCGCACATATTAGAGCACACCGTTCTCTGTGGTTCAGAGAAATATCCAGTAAGGGATCCATTTTTTAAAATGCTTAACAGATCTCTAGCAACATTTATGAATGCCCTGACTGGCCCAGATTATACTTTCTATCCTTTTTCCTCACAAAATGAAATTGATTATAGAAATCTCCAAAAAGTTTATCTTGATGCAGTTTTTAAGCCTAATTTGGCTAGACTTGACTTTTTACAAGAAGGTTGGAGATTGGAGCACACAGATTTACAAAACAAATCTTCCAATTTAATATTCAAGGGGGTAGTTTACAATGAAATGAAGGGTGCCTTCTCAGAAACGAGCTCTTTGTTTGGTCAGAAATTTATTAACCAAATATTACCACATGGCACTTATAGTTTTGTGTCTGGAGGTGATCCCTTATGTATTCCGGAGTTAACTCATAGTCATTTGAAAAAATTTCATGCTACTCATTATCATCCTAGTAATTCAAGAATTTATTCTTATGGCAACTTCCCATTAGAAGCCAACCTTAAATTTCTAAATGAATCATATTTAAGTCAGTATGAGTACTTAGATCCTAAAAATACCATTGTATCACCACAAGAGAGATGGAAAGAAGAAAAGAGGTCATCAATTTCTTGTAGAGTGGATCAATATGGTGGTCCTGTAGAAAAACAAAATCAGATAGCAATTGGTTATGTTTTGTCAGATGTTACAAACATTTATGAGACATTCATGTTAACTGCACTTTCTGAACTGATGATAATTGGTCCTAATTCAGCTTTTTATAAGAGTCTGATTGAGAAAAACATATCTGGTGGTTATAACTCTTTAACCGGCTATGACAATCAAATCAGAGATACGCTCTTTGCTGTGGGTCTTAGAGACGTGGAAGAAAAGAACTTTGCCACAATTGAAAAGATAGCATATGAAACCATACATAGAATATTCACAAAAGGTTTTGAACAGGATCACATTGAAAGTGTTTTACATGGATTTGAGTTAGCTATTAAACATCAATCACCTAAATTTGGCCTTAACTTACTCTTCAACATAATGCCTTTATGGATTCATAATGGATCAGTTTTGAATGCTTTAAAAGTAAATAAATTGCTTGAAAAACTTAAAGTGAACCTCAAAGACCAACATTACGTTAAAGCTGTCATAGAAAAGTACTTCATATGTAACACACATAAATTAATTATGACTATGCAACCTGATCCCAAATTTGATGATATATTTAATTCTGCAGAACAAGCATTATTAAAGAAAAAAGTGGATGAATTATCTGATGAAGACAGAAAACAAGTTTATGAAGATGGATTGGAGCTTTCAGAAGCTCAAAAAAAACAACAAAACCTGGATGTGTTGCCATGTTTAAAATTAGAAGACATAACTCTTACCAAAACGGCCCCTCCCCTGAAGCATACAGTATCTGGATCTATTCCTCTACAGCTCTGTGAGGCAAATACAAATGAAGTCATATATTTTAAAGGAGTTCTAGGGACAGAGAGTTTAAATGAAGAACAACAGCGGTTGTTGCCATTCTTTACTTACATTGTTGACAAGTTTGATACAGTATCTTACAATTTTCGAGACTTTGACAAATATGTCAGCAAAAGTACATCTGGACTGAGTTTCATAACTCATGTGACGGAGCACATAGATCAGCATGGCCAGTATGAACAAGGTTTGCTGATTGGGAGCCACTGTCTCGATGAAAACATACCTAAAATGCTTAATATTTGGTCTGAAGTGTTCAATAGGCCAAATTTTGAGAATGAGGAGAGAATGAAAATGCTTTTAAACAACTATTGTTCATCTTTAACAAGTGGCATTATAGACAATGGTCACACGTACGCTATGCAATCTGCTCGCTCATTAATATCATCTGTTGATGAATGCAAAGAGGGTTTGTTAGGAATACAACATGTAATAAACATGCAAGGAATACAAAAACAATACACAATCAATGATATACAAACAATTGTTGATGCAATATCAAAACAAACCTTAAGTGGATATAATCTCAGAGGAGCTTTCCATTTCACTAATACAAATGCAGATATATTGGAATGTGTCGATGAGTTCTGTAAAAGTCTGACCCATGCCGAGGAAAACAAAGATATTAACCGCATTAACTGGGTTGATTCAAAACAGATGCCTAAACAAAACCGTGGTATTCATGTTTCTATGAATATACCAGTCAATTACTGTGCAAAAGCTGTTCAAGCCGTGCCCTATACTGACCCAGATTATCCGAAACTCCGTGTCTTATCCAGGTTCTTGACATCTAAATACCTTCACCCCATTGTGAGAGAACAAAATGGAGCTTACGGTGGAGGCGCAGCTTTAACTTTGGATGGTGTTTTTAATTTCTATTCGTACAGAGACCCTAATTCCCGTAAAACATTAGATGTGTTTGATGAGACTACAACATGGATGAAAAGTAACACTAGTCTTTTAGATGACCAAAACCTTTTTGAAGCTAAACTTTCAATATTGCAGCAAATGGATCAACCTGTAGCTGAGTACATGAAGGGTATTGACTTGTTTCTCTATGGATTATCATTTGATATTTGGCAAACCCAACGAGAGAGGGTTTTGGCTGTCACAAAAGAAGATCTGATAGAAGTGTGCCATAAATATTTAGCTCCTGAAAAATGGGCAGGAAAATGTGTTATTGGTGAAGGTGCATCACAAGATATACAGAAGGATGGTGAATTTTGGAAGAAGATAAGTGGACCTCAGCAGTAAACTTATATTTCTGGAAGCATATGGAAGATAGTACTTAGAATTGTATATTGTTTATTCAATAGTTATTAGTCGAGGAAAGTCAACATAAAGACTAGTTTTATGATTTTTTATGTTAAAATAGTCATTTGATGAATACATAGGATGTTTAAAATTATTGAAAAAAATGTCTCATGCTTTAGTTAGAATTGCATACATATTTTAAATATAAATGTGAATTCCAGTTTACTTTGAGAATTTGCTTTCGTTTTGGCATTTTATAGAGTTACTATGCTTGTTGAATTATAATAAATAGTATATATTTTGGTGTATTTTGTTGATATCATTAATATTTGTTCAATAAAAAATGTTAAGACTGTTTAAAAATAAAGTTAAATGTAATAATTATCGTGTTATTATTTATTAATATGCTTCAGTAGGTTATAATTTTAGCTATACTAAATTCAAATTCAAGTTTACCTACCAGAAATTGCTTTACTTTTGTAATAATTTACTAATCTAACCTAACCATAGCTCCTAAGCTATTGTCAGCATATGGTTCTCGACAATAGTGAAATAGCGGGACTCGAACCCATGACCACATCATAAAATATTTACACCCTAACTATTAGAGCTATTGGCACCTCATTCATTGTTTTGAAAGTCATACAGTGATCAATATTTTATGAAATCCATTAATCCTTACAAATGTAGAAATGAAACATGATGTTATTGAAGGGGGTGCAGGGCGCCTATCAATGAATTTTACTACTAATTACTATTTAGGCGCCAAACTGATTGTCGCACCCGTCGCCCAATATGGTTAAAACGGCCCTGGATCCGTTGAAACACCAGACTTTTTATAAATAATTATTTACATATTTAAATTACAGATTCGCAACAAATGTCTCTGCCGGAACAATTTAATAGTTACGAAAGCTATTTCGATGCCTGCACTCAATTCTTTGAAGAATATCAAAACTTGTATAATTTTGCGAATACTGACGTTCTTGTTAAAGGCATTATAGACGATATACGGATTGATAATTTTAAAGACGTTGATGTTTTTGAACACGATTTTGAGCTTCGAAGTGAAGGAGAAAATATTAAATTATTTAATGATTTTTTTAATAAATTGGATAAGCTTAAGGTTAAATACGATAACGTAGAAATCGATACGGAATATAAGATTAATGCACCTCTGGGACCGAAGAAGAAACATGAAATTATTTGCTTAGCGAAGGAAATAGGTACACTTTGCAATAATATTGGATGCGATACAGTCGTCGATTTTGGATCAGGATTGGTAATAGCTTTTTTATTTTATCTTAGATTTGTTTTTAAAAGCACAAACATTGAATTATTTTGAATAGTATAATAGGTGCAATAGCTTACTAGCTTTTACGCATAAGTTTTAATTGCTTAGGATTTCAACTTTTTAATTGAGTTTTATAAAGGTGATAATTTTTTTTAGGGATACCTGGATCAAGTCATTTTCGACACGACTCATTACAACGTATTGGGCTTGGAATGTAATGAAAGGCATTATGTTGGTGCGAAGAAACGGCAAAATAAATACCATATTGATTCTACTAGTTGCGTGAAGTTTATCAGACACAGAATTACCGAGCATTCTCATGTTAATCTGTCGGAGTTTTTAAACGATAAATTTCAAAATTGCAACAGTTTTTGTATTACTGGCCTCCACGCATGTGCAGATTTAACGGTTGATGCAATGAATATATTTTTAAAAATGGAGAATGCCCGAGCTATGATCTTAATGCCGTGCTGCTACCATAAAATGCGAATTGAAAATTTGTCAGATGGCAAATTCACAAATTTTCCTCTAAGTAAATGTTTAAAAGAAATTTATATAAAAAATAGAGGATTTGAATACATGAAAGTACCATTTTTAAGGTTAGCGGCCCAACCGCAACTCAGTAGTCAAAGTAATATAAGAGATCTAGTTTTCAATTTACTCGCCAGAGCCGTATTACAAATATACGCATGCAAATGTAAGTAGTTAAACATATTTAAATAACAACGAATAACAAAGTAGATTTAACAGACTGGCAGAGACACCTACAGTACACTCACGCTGCGCCGGTGTTTGTATGTCCAGTTAAGTCCATTGTGGTCTCATATAATTAGGACAATCAGCAGCGTAGTATTTTTATTTAGATGTGTCTTAAATAAAGTTTTTTTTTTCAGATAACTATACGATAAAAAGAAAAAAACGTAAAGCTGTGAGAGTGAAGACGATACACAACAATTTTGAAAGTTACGCACAAGATGCGTGCACTGAAGGGTTTTTATTTGTGCAAGAAAATCTAGAAATAGATAATTTAAATGAATCCAACTTTAATAATAAATCGTTTGATGCAAAAGTTGCAGTCGAGGAATTAAATTCAATTTGGAATGATTTACCTCCAGAGATATTTAAAAAGGCCGCCACATTTATATTATTACAAAACCAATTACAACCTATTATCGAAAACTTTATTTTACTTGATAGAATTGTGTACTTAAAGGAGAATGGATTATTAAATACAACTTGTAGAAAAATTGTTAATGCTAATATATCACCTAGATGTTTGGCTTTATTTGCTCACAAATAAATATGAAAAATAAAAAAAAAACTTTTTATTCAGGCTAACATAGACTTCTTGTTTATTGAGGAAACATTCAAATAAAGCATTGTCACCTTTTGTAATACATATTCTGGAATGTTCCAACCATAGATTTATAACCCTTAGTTGGAGTGTTCCATACAAGTCTGACATAGTTTTTATAATGAGCAAATTTATTAGGAAGTCCTGCCAAATTCACTTCTCCTTTCCAATCATTCCTTGTACGAAAATGGGGAAGAGAAAGATGATTAAAATTAGGCCTCCTAAAGGATACTCATCAGACTAAGTGTTACAATTGTTTCCACTTCACAGATGTCTTGTGTAGTTGTGGTATTTCAATGGGTCGGCCCATTCATGCAAAAGCTGTTATTGCGGACTCTACCACTTTAGTAATAATTAATATGTTTTCCTCTTTTACTAAACTAGTGGATACTACATGATGAAACTTTCTGTCTTCTTAATAACTTTGTGCTCTAAATGTTTATTTTTTTAAAGGAAACTATAGGTCACACAATGCTTTGACATCATAGATTTTAACCTATGTGACATTACAATTGCTTACAGAATTCAGCTACTACAACAATGTTCTTTCTCTTGCTTTTCAATTTAACATCTCACTGTTTCATTGCAGTATATCACTAGTTTCTATAGCTTTTGTTATTTTACTAGTTAATTGATTGTTAGGTGAACCATTTTCAGGTATTTTTTTCTTAGCCATGTTTATTTTGTGCATTCTTTTCATATGTACATTGTAATTAGGCCAATTTGTAAATTTACGAACACAAATATCACATGAATATGGTTTCTCGCCAGTGTGCTGACGTAAGTGAAGATGAAGTACACTCCTAAATCGAAATTTTTTGTCACAATAAGTGCATTCATGAGGCCGAGAGTCAGTGTGAATGATACTGTGTGTAGTCAGTTGATTTTTCAAACGGAATTCTCGTCCACACTCATTACATTTAAAAGGCTTCTCGGCACTGTGGATACTTTCATGTTGCTTCAAAATCCTTAAAGTTTTGAATTTCATCTGACATACTTTGCATTGATGTATGCGTTCATCATGTATTGAGGTGTGTTCTGCTAAATCACGTTTCCTTAAGAAACCTTTCCCACATTTCTCACAAATGTGCTCTCTTTTTCTGTCAGTGTGAGTTAGTAAATGAGCATGGAGTGTTCCCTTTGTTTTATAAGATTTTTTACAAGTAATGCAGTATAAATTATTTGTATTAGACTTTATTCTTAATGGAATAAATTTCCTTCGCTTATTTTTGTAAAATGCCTGGCTATGATTACTTAATTCTTCTTGGTTTTGAAAATCAACATCACATCCTAGGCAAACAAATGGTGATTTTGTTGCATGTGCAGTTTTCATGTGCATATGTACATGACATGCAAACATAAATTTCTTATTACACTTATGACACACCACTTTAAGATATTTCTTATGACTTTTGACGTGGATTATGAATTGTTTCAAGTTCATCTTCCATATTTTACAGTCATAGCATTTGTAGGCATTACAACATTGGTGATATTGCATTGAATGTGTTTGAAGTTCTCCGAGAGTAGCAAACTGTGTTTCACAGTATGCACAGGTCCATATGTAATCGTTCCAAGTTAACTCTGAATTTTTTTCCACTGGATCTCCAAGAGATCGTTCACTAGAAGTTTCGCGCTTTTTATTTATAGAACCACTACTGGCTTCAGAGTCTGAAGATTGTGTGTCTTCTGGCTTAATACATACAGTATACTCGGAGACACTACATCTCACATCACTCTCTTGATTTTCTGTGGGACGAGCTTCTGTTTTTAATTTGTTTTCATATAATTCTTTTAACATGATCAAGGCTTTGTCGACTTCCGAAACGAATTCAAAAGCTTTGTCTAATTTTTCCATACACGAAATGCATATCATTCTTGGTAATTTTTTATCGTCGAGATCATCGTATGAAATGTTTAAACGAGACAATTTAATTGCAGTTTTGTGTAACATTCCATTGGTCTGCAAATTTATTAACTTACTGAAACTTTTTATTTGAGCGCACAATATACAATAAGTTATGCCCTCTTTTTCCATGTTATAATAGAAAAATGTTTTTTTCACATTTGAGTTTGTATACAATATATGTATTTTACAATAATAAACGACAAAAATACCCCTGACAAGGAACTTCACAAGGTGGTCCATTGACAATTGACATTGACAGAGGAGCACTACGCCTACGACCAAAGAGCACTAAAACTACGAGTTTAGAGTTACCAAAACCTAACTGCTTCCATGTTGATAACAAAATAAAATAAATTATTTTCTACTTAAAAAGTGAGTTTACATAGTGTATAAATTCTACACGAATTGAAACAGCTTTATAATTATTCGATATATGTGTCTGTTGCATGAATGGGCCGGCTCGACCGATGGAATAACTCGACCACACACAAGATAGGAGTCAGTTGGAAGTTGTTCCACTTTTCGTCTGATGAGTGTCCACGGCAGAGAGGTCTAATTTTAGTGCGCTTTTCCTGCCCACCCCCTCATTATAAAAGTCGGAAAAGGAAAGTGGATTTGACGGAGTAGACGCATGGTAAGAAGATATATTCTTTCTGTGCGTCCCCTTCTTCATCAATCATCGATTACAGACTTATTTCGGCGAATTTAGATGGCCGCTTGCTCCCTTGTCGGCTTGTAATAAAAAAAAAACAAGAAAACAAAGGATTAACTTTATATATTTAATATTTAAATTATAACAATAAAATTAATCAATTGGTAAACTATTGTTAACAACAAATATTTAGTTACGAAAGTGATCATTTCTACCGTGTACTTTCTTTTGTACTATATTTATGGACTTTTAATAGGTGATTTCTTTTTGGACATGTTCATTTTGTGCATTCTTTTCATATGAACATTATAATTAGGCCAATTTGTAAATTTACGAACACAAATATCACATGAATACGGCTTTTCTCCAGTGTGCTGTCGTAGATGGACATAAAGTGTCCCCCTCAGTCGAAATTTTTTCCCACAATAAGTGCATTCATGAGGTCGGGAGTCATTGTGAATATTACTGTGTGAAGCCAAATGATTTTTCAGACGGAATTCTCGTCCACACTCATTACATTTAAATGGTTTTTCTGCACTATGGATAGCAATATGCTGCTTTAAGGTATACAAAGATTTGAATTTCATTGGACATATTTTGCATTGATGTCTGCGTTCATCTTCATGTACTATGGTGTGTTCTACTAAATCACGTTTCCTGAAGAAACCCTTCCCACATTTTTCACAAATGTGCTCCCTTTTTCTGTCAGTGTGAGTTAATAAATGAGCACGGAGTGATACCTTTGAACTATAAGATTTTTTGCAAGTAATGCAAAATAAGTCATTTGTATTAGACTTTATTCTTAATGGAATATTATGTTTTTTTTGCTTATTTTTATAGAATGCTTGTCTATGCTTACTTAGTTCATCTTGATTTAGGAAATCAATGTCACATCCCAGGCAAACAAAGGGTGATTTTGTGGCATGTGCAGTTTTCAGGTGTATATGTACATGACGTTCAAACATAAATTTCTTATTACACTTATGACACATCACTTTAAGGTATTTCTTATGACTTTTTACATGAATTATGAATTCTTTAAAGTTCATCCTCCATATTTTACAGTCATAGCATTTGTAGGCATTACAACATTGGTGATATTGCATTGAATGTGTTTGAAGTTCTCCGAGAGTAGCAAACTGTGTTTCACAGTATGCACAGGTCCATATGTAATCATTCCAAGTTAACTCTAATGAAGATATCTCTGATTTTTTTTCTACTGGATCACCAAGAGATCTTTCACTAGAAGTTTCGCGCTTTTTACCTAATGAATCACAACTGGCTTCAGAGTCTGAAAATTGTGTGTCTTCTGGCTTAATGTGTACGCTGTACTCCGATATGCTATCTAGTTCATTAATCTCTTGATTTTCTATTGAAGTATCTTCCGTTTTTATTTTATTTTCATATAATTCTTTCAACATAATCAATGCTTTGTCAACTTCCGAAACGAATTCGAAAGCTTTGTCCAATTTTTCCATACAAGAAATGCATATCATTCTTGGTAATTTTTCGCCGTCGAGAGCATCATATGAAATGTTCAAACGAGACAATTTAATTGCAGTTTTGTTTAACATTCCATCGGTGTGCAAATTTATTAACTTACTAAAACATTTTATTTGTGCGCACAAAATACAATAAGTTACACCCTCTTCCATGGTACGATATATAAAGATACTTTTACACGTTTGTGTTTTGTATAAAGTACACTTAAATTTACAATTATAAATAATAAAAACAAACCTCGTATTTTATACGATTATTTTGTTCGACAAGCATCAAGAATCATAGCATAGACTATACTCTTTGGATCATAGAATATTAAGAATGGGCGTTGATTCAATGAACTAGTTGAAACAACCGTTGATCACGCTTCTACGTTCCGACTTCCAACCGTTGACTGTTTTTGTGTTCTAAATCGCGATTTTGGCCTCAGAAATCTACTAGTCTTGGAAATTAGATGACATGTTTCTGCAACTACATTGCCAAGTATTAAGAAAACATTTTTATGTATCTAAAGTCATATAGGTCTGACCAGCAGGCCCAGGCCCCGGTTGTAGCGTCTCAGAAGATGATGATATATGTCTAAATATTACAGTTTATAAAAACACCGTACAATACAAAGAAATAGATAACTATCCTTTTACGGGTTTTCTGAAAATAATGCGTAGACGAAGTAGCCATCACTGGCTAGTGAAAGATATGACCTTTTCGACTGTGGTGGCTTTAAAAAAAAGTCATTGAAGTTCATTCATAGGTAATTTTATGATCTACAACTTAGTCCAACGTAACTTTTTGATAACACTTACAGTTTTCTCCAATAACGCGAAAAACCAATTTTTTACACATATGACCTTGGGTTTTTTCTAATGCGGGATCGATGAAGTTTCTAAGGGTTCATTTATTTTCAGAGCTCTATACGAATTATTGTAGGTTCATCACCTTAATTTCGCCATATTTGATTCAGCTACTAAAAAAGTAAAATTTAATAAGTGTTTTTTCTAATAAATTATGATTTGTATGATGAAATGGTTTTACTTATGCCCGTAGTATAAATATAATAAGAAAACAGATCGACAAAATTTAAACTAATAAACATCATATTTATTTTAAAATCAGCCTGAAGACATATCACATTGACTTAATGCTATTATTTTTGAGTTCAAATTAAAAACTAACCATAAAGTTTCGCCTACGTAATTAATGCCGCAAAATGAGCAATCAGTTAACAAGTATTGGAGTTCCAGTAAGAAGGTTTACTTGGTGGTGGATTCTGACTTGATACCTTGAAGCATAAAACACCTTTGATCCATTTGATATACATTTTCAACATACACATTTCATGAAGGCGCTACCAGTGAAAATTTTGTGTAGACTTCATAATTTAAAATCTGTAAACAATAACGGTTGTAGCTCTACTAGTGCCCTCGGCGAGAGGACGCCCTCTTTCTTTAACAATATCTTTGGGGTGTTAATATGGCTAATATAACACTGTAGCGGCTCTTTCCGGCCAATACCCTTGGTGGTTGCATAATAGCGCCCTACATTACTGTGTGTAAGATTAAATTTGAATTGAATTAATTGGGATACTAAAACTTTATTTAACTAACCGTAAGATTCCACCAGAAATCATTTTGTTTCAGATTTTTCATTTTGAACTTCATCCAAATCAGTGATTTGTGGTTTCTTACGAGATGAGGACACCCTTTTAGTTCTTCCTTTAATATTGCTATTCTTCGATTCCAGTGTTTCACTACAATCATATTTTATTATTTTACCAGTAGATGGATTAATTGGATATACACCCTCTGGTGTCCTTTTTTTCTTAGCCATATTCAAATCATGGCGCCTTTTCATATGTTTGTTATAATTAGACCAATTTGTAAAATCCCTTGCACAGATTTCACATGAATATGGTTTGAATCCGGTGTGCTGCCTTATATGTTGGTCTCGAATAGTTTTAAACCTAAACTTTTTTTCACAATACATACAATCATACGGTAGAGAGTTGGTGTGTATTATAAAATGTGAGTTGAGATAACTTTTTAAACGAAACGCTTTTCCACACTGATCACATTTATGAGGTTTCTCACCGCTATGAATAGCTATATGTTTTTTCAATTGCATCAATGTTTTGAAACTATTCTTGCATACATTACACTCATGTGATTTTTTCTCTTTATGTGACATTGAATGGCATTTCAATTGATTTTTATTGAAGAAACCTTTACCACATATATCACATATATGTTCCTTTTTTCTATCAGTATGTATAAATAAATGACTATGAAGTAATTGCTTGTTGTTGAATGACTTTTTACAAATGTCACAGGATAAGCTATTCTGGTTAGAGACCAACTCAATTGGTACATGTATAAAACGTTTTCCTCTATAGAATTTTTCTGTATGCACTTGTAGTTCTTCTGAATTTTCAAAATCAGCATTGCAACCAGGACATACATATTTTGATTTAGGTCCATGGGCCATCCTTGTGTGACTATTTAATGCACGGGTACAAGAAAATTTGCAATTACATAAATAGCACATAAATTTAAAATGTGGATTATGTCTTTGTACATGTACAATTAATCGATTTAAATGCAATTTCCTTATGTTACATTCATGACATTTTAATGCATTGCAAATTTGGTGATATTGCATGGAATGTAGTTTTAGCTCTTCATGGGTAGAAAACTGTGTTTCACAAACAGAACACGTCCATTGGTAATCATTCCAAGTTAATCTTATATCTGTGTTCTTACTACTGTTTTTATTTTTATTATAGTAAAAACTTTCACAGTCTGAGTTTTCCTCTGAGATAATAGAACTGTCATTAGAAGATTGAGAGTAAATTTCGAAATCTAGGCCAGCACCACTTTCAGATTTATCTCTCAATGAATCCACATGTTCCGAAATGTCACTCTGTTGTTCCAAAATATCATTCTGTCGATGTTCTGAAATATCGTCCTGTTCCAAATAATGAATCTTTTGATCACCAAATAACTCAGACTTTATTTTATCTTCTAATACATCTGTCTGTTGATCTTTAAAAATACCATCATCTTCACTTTTCAAAATATCACCTTGTTCACCTCCCGAAACATCAGAATCTTGCTCTTTTAAGGAGTTATTTTTGTTTTCATAAAGATCACTTAAAACATTCTGGGCTTTTTCAACTTTTGATACAAATTCAAAGGCTTTATCAACATTGTCGTTACACGATTTGCAAACATTCTTTGGAAATGTTTGGTCATAATCGTACAATATATTTAAACGTGATAATTTTAGGATCGTTTTATGAAGCAACTCTTCGTCTGCTTCCAATGGGATTAATTTACTGATACTTTCTAGCTGGGCGCATAACATGCAGTGGTAGTAAGTTTCATCCATTACGATTATATTCTTTGCATGATAGATATTCAAAGCTTTTCCGCAATATATATCATTCCAAATAAATTTTAAAGATTCTTGAATCTCACGAAGATAACTTCAATCTCTAACTTTGTTTTATTTTGCACAGTTCGGCAAGAAACTTGTATATTGTGAATATAAAACTAACAATGTCATCTTGACAGAGTCACTGTCACAGTCAGTGAGTGTGACTGCGTCCTATTTTGTAAAACCGATGATAGTGGTTGTTGCCATTGGAAAAAAAAGAGGATGCACTGACCTCCATGAATGGACTGGCTGTAAGACGTGGTATTTTGTGTCTATTTGATTTTCGCCGTTTTGACGATGATGATAATATAGTGCTTTTGTTGTTTTAAGGATGATTAATTTCTCTAAAAACTGACGTCTATGAAGTAGCAAAGTAACTTTTTTTTAGGTTTGGTAAGTTTAAGATACTTAATTAACGGTTAAGGTCAGTATCTGACCGTACTATGCGATCAAATTAACAATAGGAATGACTTTCGGCTATTTTGTGATGTCATAGCCGCTGTTTCGAATCGTCTAGGTAGGCTTAGGAAAATAATGAAATGAAATTTAAAAAAGTCATCGATTTTGAAACGCTTCCACTCATTTCGTCATTATCAGAATAGTCATCATCATCATTTATGAATGGCGATTCACGGCGCGGCGGAATCAGTTTGAATGCTAAAAAAAAATAAACTATGTATTCACATATGTGTATATTTTTTATTGTAAAAATGAATAATCAAAGTTAATTTTTACGAACATATTTTGCAAACCTTACTTTCAAATAAGAAATTTCATTTTTTCACACAGTAATTATAATTGAATTTATTCTCATTTTAAACTAACCACTAAAGTCCACCAGATTTTATTTCAGATTTGTCACTTCAGGCACCATCTAAATTATTGTTTGGTAGTATTTGGTGAGATGTCATGTCTTCTTAGGTCTTCCTCTGGCATTACTTGTCTTTGGTTCTAGGGTTGCATTAGTATTATATTTTATTATTTTACCAGTAGATGGATTAATCGGAAACACTCCTTCTGGGGTCCTTTTTTTCTTAGCCATATTCAAATCATGACGCCTTTTCATATGTTTGTTATAATTAGGCCAATTTGTAAAATCCCTTGCACAGATTTCACATGAGTATGGTTTGAATCCGGTGTGCTGCCTTATATGTTGGTCTCGAATAGTTTTAAACCTAAACTTTTTGTCACAATACATACAATCATATGGTAGAGAGTTGGTGTGTATTATAAAATGTGAGTTGAGATATTTTTTTAAACGGAACCCTTTTCCACACTGATCACATTTATAAGGCTTCTCACCACTATGAATGGCTACATGATTCTTTAAATGGCGCAATGTTTTAAAACTACTTTTGCATATATCACACTCGTGTGATCGTTGGTCCTTATGTGATATTAAATGAGTTTGCAATTGATTGTTATAGGCAAAACATTTACCACATATATCACATATATGTTCTTTTTTTCTATCAGTATGTATATATAAATGATTGTACAGTGTATCCTTCTTTTTGAATGACTTTTTACAAATGTCACAAGACAAACTATTGTGGTTTGAAACCAACTCAACTGGTAAAGTTCTAAAACGTATTCCTCTATAGAATGTCTCTTTATGTAGTTGTAGTTCTTCTGAACTTGCAAAATCAGCATTGCAACCAGGACATACATATTTTAATTTAGGCCCATGTACCATCCTTGTGTGACTGTTTAGTGCACGACTACATGAAAATTTGCAACTACAAATGTAGCACATAAATTTAAGATTTGGATTATGCCATTTGGTATGTGAAATGAATGTATTAAAATGCCATTTGTTTTTATTACATTTAAGACATTTTAATGCATTACATGTTTTATGATATTGCATTGAATGTAGTTTTAGCTCTTCATGGGTAGAAAACTGTGTTTCACATACAGAACACGTCCATTGGTAATCATTCCAAGTTAATCCTATGTCTGTGTTCCTGCTACTGTTTTCATTATTTTTATAGTAAATACTTTCACAACCAGAGTTTTTCTCTGAGATAACAGAGCTGTCGTTAGAAGATTGAGAGTAAATTTCGAAGTTTTTGCCAGCACCACTTTCAGAATTTTCTCTCAATGTATCAAGATGTTCCGAAATGTCACTCTGTTGTTCCAAAATATCATTCTGTCGATGTTCTGAAATATCGTCCTGTTCTAAATAATGAATCTTTTGATCACCAAATAACTCAGACTTCATTTCATCTTCTAATAAATCTGTTTGTTGATCTTTAAAAATACCATCATCTTCACTTTTCAAAATATCACCTTGTTCATCTCCCGAAACATCAGAATCTTGCTCTTTTAAGGAGTTATTTTTGTTTTCATAAAGATCACTTAAAACATTCTGGGCTTTTTCAACTTTTGATACAAATTCAAAGGCTTTATCAACATTGTCGTTACACGATTTGCAAACATTCTTTGGAAATGTTTGGTCATAATCGTACAATATATTTAAACGTGATAATTTTAGGATCGTTTTATGAAACAACTCTTCGTCTGCTTCCAATGGGATTAATTTACTGATACATTCTAGCTGGGCGCATAACATGCAGTGGTAGTAAGTTTCAGAATTCTCATCCATCTCGATTATTTTATTTGCATGTTATATACTCAAATCTTTGCCGTTATATACATATAATTCCAAGTTTAATTGATAGGTACTCGATTCTTACGAGGATAACTTCAATCTCCAACTTTATGTGTAAGTTCGATAATATGTTGTGGCCTATATAGCGTGGTTATTTATGATTAGTTTGACATTTGACCAAAGAGTTTAGAATTTATACTATAGAGTAAAGTAAGTACACTATGCATTTGACAGCTGATACCCAAAGAGTATTTGTTGTTCAATACATATCCAAATGTCTATAATAAAATCAGAAAATTAAAAAGATACTTAAATTATAATAGTTATTTGTTAACCCTTAAATGCATGATTTTTAATACCATAAATTGACACAGGTAGATACTCGTAATTAAGCATTGATAAAGGGAAAAATAAAGAAAAAAATATTTATTTTCCAAAAAGTATATTTTTATAAAAATATAAATAATTTAATAAAAGCAAAAAATACTGTGTTTGAGTTACCGTTTAGAAATTATGTAAGGACAAATACACTGATGTATAAATACATCATCATGCATTTAAGGGTTAATAGTAGGACAACCCTCCATTATGTACATGGAACAAAAGGGGTTCAGCACACACTTTGATCGCAGCACTGATCTAAGAAATTATAGCCTTGTCCGACTTAAACAGGTCTGCTGAAGTTCCTGATAATTAATCATTTCTCTATTATTACTTCGATTCCTCGCCACTGTCACCAACTGAACCGTGATCGTAAAAATGGTGAAAATCAAATTGGCACAAAACATGACGGTATATAGCCAGTCTATGTACCTCTTTTATGAACACTTAAAAAGTTCTTAATAAAAATGCAAAATAATCATTTTTAGTTCTTAATATAGTATTGTAGCATTTTAGAATCCAGAGAGTTGCGCCAACATCATCATTCATCCATTTTTTACACAGTACCATGTCAAAGTAATTTATCTGTTGTGCTAAAATTACTTAAATGTTAAAAATTATTAAACTTTTAGTCCAATTTGTAACTGCAAGATTTTTAATAAAATATTATCAGATTTTTGTAAATTTACTAATATTTCTAGTACCATTCCAACTAAGCTCTAAGCTTGTGTACTAGGACATGGTTTACGACAATAGTCGAGTGACGGGATTCTAACCCCCGACCTCGTGATCGGAAATCCGTACCTTTAACTATTAGACTATTGGCGCTTTTTTAAATTAATAGGTATATTACCATAAACGGCTATTGTTGAATTATGGGACACGCTGTAAAGACGTGGTAAAAAAGTATTTGTTATCTGTCTCTCATGTATCCTTAAAGGAAAATAAAATTAAAGCTGCACTTCACTTTTTTACTTACTTTTTTTCTTTAAGGATAATATAATATTACGCGCCACAATTACGTAATTCAAAATTAATTAAATATTTTCCTGTTACAAAGTAGGTATAAAACAGTCGAAAATATAATTTTGGTCACCAGTTACAAAATCCCAGTCTATCGTCCCGTATTTGTGTACCAGTTGTCGAAATAAAAACCTATTAAATTATAATCGTAAAGTGAAACAAAACCGAAGAGAAAATATTTATAATGAAAAGACTAACAATATTTCTATTGTTTGCTGCAGCTGTTTGTTCAGAATACGAAAATGAAATTAGTAATAAAATAGCGATGAATGTCGCGACGCTTTTAGGTAAAGCCGGCCATTTTAACTTAAATATAAATAATTTGAGTAGCATCGACAATATAGAAGGTATGGATAATTGTGAAACTGAGTCATCAACGATAAAAAATATAGTTGATGGAAATGATGAAAGTGGAAAGGACAATTTCAAACCAATTTCACGGATAGTTACTGCACATAAGTGTCAAAATTCCTGTCAGTTCAGTTCCTGATATATCAGGCTGCCCCAATAATGAAAGTCTGAAAGGCGGATACACAAAGGGACCTGCTAATATTCGCAAGTCAAATCGAAAATTCAAACCAAATATGTAATACAGTGGTATCCAAACTTTACGGTGTCTTTAGGTTAGATAATGGTTAACGCCGACTTGCCAACGACACGGACATCTTGCAACGTCTCGCGAAAGCCTCTAGCGGATGTAATCAATTATATAATAATATTATTTAATAAAAAAACGCTTATGTACAATGTTTTTTTATTATTATTTACATAGTATGAGTAATTAATACATTAAAATCGATGTATTTATGTGTTCAGGACATACACATGATGGTGTAGACTAGAGCTTGAACTTGCTCTAAGGGAGACTAGGTCTTAGTCAATACTCCTAACAGCCCTAAGTAAGACTAGACCTGTTATCCCGCCCCCACTGTCCTAAGCGCACACAATAACACATGGTATACATGGAGGGGTCGAACTCACGTCCAGATTACAAGTTCCGTGCTTAACCACTTCGCTATAGTGTATCTATTTAAGATAGATTAGTTTGACAATTGGCGCCCAGGAAGTATCGAATTAATTTTGTATGAAGAGTAATGTTGTACTTAATGGATGGTTGTCATAGTAACGGACCGTTGCGCAAAACGAATAACTATATACTTTCGAGTATCGATCTTTTTATAAAATTAATATACCAATTGAACACTACAATTTTGGTTTTTATAACTTGAATTTATTATAGTTGTTTGGCTATAACGAACAATTAATAAAAAAAAAAATACTTTTTTGTTTGACACACCACAATTTTTGGTTTAATGTTTTATTTCTTTATGTAGTTATGAATGATAAAGTGGAATTAGAAAGAAACAATTTTATTTACATTATAATTAAAAAGCAAAATTCACGAAATGTCTTTTTAGTTAATTGTGCGATACATTGCCAAATATCTGTAAAAAATTAAAAAAGAAATAAAATACCATTTATTTGTTCGATTAATATTATTACAAGACCGGTCTTCGATAGTTCATAGTTATTCGTTATGCGCGTACTGTCCGAGTCTATGGCAACCGTCCATTAAGTACAACATTAATCCTCATACAAAATTAATTCAGTATTTCATAGGCGTCACTTGTCAAACTTATATATTTTAGACTCATATTTAGAGCATATACCCTTGTCTTAGGTATTGCTTGCTATTTTTAACAAATAATTTAAGAGTAATTAAAAAATATAAAAACAAATAATACTCATAAATATTAAATAATAAAATTAAAATGCTAATTCTCGATTTATTTTTTCCTATCCAAGAATCATAGTCTTATTGTCTGTTTCTAGCATTTTATATAAATTTCCGATTTAGCATATAGTTTTAATGCATTTTCCTATCATTTTATAAACTAACTGATATAATATTGTTATATTTTAACTTTTGCCATTGACCACTTTGATTTTGTACTTAGGAAACGGCACAACTAGGTCAAAGTGTGTTAGTACTTACTAGTACTAGTGCTTTTGTTTTTGCTTTCAATTAGAATTTATTCTAAAATAAATTTAAATAAAGGATATACCTAATATGTTAAATTAATTCAACCAGTTAACTAGATGGGCCTCATATTCTTAAAAGTTTTTTTAATCTATAAGCCTCTTCACTGTCTTGATTAACTTCCACTCTCTTCCTTTATTAGTTTCTTCTTCCCTCTCTTCCCGGGCTTCATTATCTTGTTTTTCCACTCCTCCGTATCAGGGTCTGTGAACTGTACAATTTGCCCAGTTTGAGGGTTAATAGGGAACACTCCTTCAGGAGTTATTTTTTTCTTAGATGTGTCAGTATTATGCCGTCTTTTCATATGTTTGTTATAGTTTGACCAATTAGTAAACTCCATGCCACAAATCTGACAAGCGTACGGCTTAGCTCCGGTATGTTGTCGTTCATGATTTTTAAGTATCTGTCTAAAACGGAAAGCCTTATTACAATATTCACATACATAAGGCATTGCATCTGTGTGAATTATTTTGTGAGCATTCAGCTGATATAAAAGTCTGAATCCACGTCCACATTCTTCGCAAGAGAAAGGTTTGATACCTGAATGCATGTCAACATGTCTGCGTAACATGTTTGGAAATAAAAACGACTTGTTGCAGATCTTGCATGTGTGCGGTCGGATCTGATCGTGCGACATTATGTGTGATGTAAGGGTACCTTTGTTGTAAAACATTTTCCCGCATCTATCACAGGTGTAGTTCCTTGTACGGTTGTTTGTATGGAGTTTCATATGGTCCCTTAGGCTATTAAGATTCTTGTATACTTTTTTACACAACTCGCAAGTAAGTTCGGCCAGTGTGATTGGTGTACCTCGTTTCCTCCGTGGTTTACGTTTTGGTTTCATAGAATTGTAATCACCTAAATGCTTCTGTAATGCCTCTTGGTTCTTTAATATCTCCCCGCAGAGGTCACAAGGGACTTGTAATTTAACAAGGTGCTGGGCAACATGTGTACTTAGTAAGTCTTCTGACATGTATGCATCACAGTAATGACATCTTTTTCTGGAATTAAAACATATTTCAATATTATAATATCTATATTTATGTGTAATAATTTATTTATTTATTTAAATAATATATCTTGATGGATGTAAATATGCTATAAGGTATTTCCCAAATGGCTGTATGAATCTTAATGAAATATGGTATGGATGTAAAACACAATCTGGAAGAACACATAGGTTACTTACTTATGTTTCATTATACTATTTAATTTATCAACAAAAATAGAAAATATAGTGTACCTTAATCTTCTCCTGTGCCTACGCACATGCTTTAAAAATGATTCAAAATCACTTTTCACATAACTTTTACAATCAAAACAAACAAAAGCATTACATTTGCCATGAGCTATTTTAGAATGAGATCGTAATGATGGTAAATCAAGGAACTCCATATTGCAATGTGCACATATCCAGGGGTAGTCTTTCCACAGGGGGACTATCCTCTTCCTTGAATCTGTCACCTCTTTAGCATATAATGTGACATCAGATTCATATGGCACATTGCATATAGTTGCCCCAAGCAGGTCTTGAACATTAAGAGTATTGTCGAATTCTACGTTGGACGGGCTTTCACTGATGTTTTCTGGAGCCTTGTCAGATTCTTCCACTTTAAGTTCTTCTTTGACTTCCAAAACATTATAAGTAATGTTATCCAAATTTAAAACTACCTTTGCATTTTCTGGGTAACTGGCCTCCTCTTTAATTAATGGTGAAGTTTCCCCAACTGATTCTGGTAAGCAATAATCGTCGAAACCCATTCTATCATCGTCAGATAAATCTGTCTTTGAACAGTCATTGGTTATGAATAAATTTATCAATACTTCCTGCGATCGTTTCACCTTTTCCAGAAAATCTATTGCTTTATTTAAAGATTCGTAGCATACGAAGCAAATAGTTTTGGGTAATAAGTTGTTATTATTATTAGAAAAATCGACATAAACTGCATTTAAGACGGTCAGTTTATGCAATATTTCTTCGTATTTTTCTTTATCTTTAACAAGATTTACCAGTTTGTTGGATGCTTTTGTTTCGGCACAGAATCTACAATGAGTTTGTTCTATATTTGCCATTATAAATTCATGAATACATTATCATTTGTTTCACTACTAATAAAATATCACGGATTTAGTAAAGTCGCGAATAGCGATTAATTAACTTGTCAAATTGTCAAACACAACAAATCATAGCTAACCTATTTTTTTTTTAGAGTTACGTTCCATTCCATTTTACGGTGTACAATGAAATACCCCAAATGAAGAATGCTTAAGTGAAAAATATTTGAATGTGCATAAAATATTGTAGCAACAAGTATTATATTTAACAAAAATAATTTTGTAGATAAAAATTAAAACACATTTATATATTTAATATAAAAAGAAAGATTATAAAAAAGGATCAGATGGTATCTCCAGATCGGCGGCGGAAATACGTTTTATTCCCATACTAGCTGTCGCCCGCGACTCCGCGCGCGAGATTAATAAAACATATATTTCGGATAACAGAAATCCTTATTTCTTCACCATCCATTTTTTTGCTAGCCAAACTAATAATTTATACATAAAAATTCACCTAACTGAATTCTGCATTTTAAATTCAATGGAAGTCACAACACTATCCGGCTGCGATCTAAACCGTATTGTGTTTCCTTGGCCTTATAAGATTTAAAAAAAAATTATATCGGTTAACATTTAATTTATGCATGTCCTAATTCTAAGATTATTCTAAATCCAGATTTATTTCTTTTAAATCAGGCCTAAATATTGGTCAAATGTATTGACGTTAAAGTGTTTTAAGTTCATCGTTTTTGTTTTTGCTAATTAGATGTTGTTTTTTGCGATATTTAATGAAGGTTGCTTAGTTTAGACTTATCTTCGTCGCTGTTGTCGTATAATTTTAAATGAATTTTACACAGTAAAAGAATTTTATTAATTTGAATAATTGTTGAAGCAATAAAATACAATGTTGGAAGTAAGCTACATTGATGAATATCACAGGCGTTAAAAACAATACATTTATTAAATATTAAGAAGACAAGATACACATATGCAGACTGATACAGATCTATAACACACTAGACACGACACGTTTTAAACATATTTACAAAGACATTGCTAAAACACGTAGAACAATTCTTTAGTTACATAGAAAAATGGAAATTACTATACTAACTTTTGACCTATACTACACACAATCTAGTGAACTTTGAACTACTTCGATTATTTTTTTATATTACTTATTAAAGAAGTATTTATTATAACAAGCGAGATATTTAACGTCCACAACTAATTTGTAAAAATTTCTACAATTTATAGCAGTAAGATAAAATGTTAATAGATTGTAGGTAAATATCTTTAGATGACATTTATAACAATTTTCAAAGATTAAACACTTTCAGATTTAAAAGACAACATTATTTTTTTATTCTACAAGGTGGCAAAAAAGCAATTGCGCACAAGTGCTGCGAAGAGACATCTGCGACAGGCCAAAGAGTTGAGAGTCTACGAGTACAAAGAAGAGGATTTATGGAAAAGAGGAAATTTCCCTTTAATTTTATCTGCTTATCAAATCTATATATCCTTTACTTATTATATTAATGTGAATAGGGGAAATGAACAAGATATAGACCTTCGGAACTTTTATCAAGCAAAGAGCGGAACTCTACATTCGGAAAAAGATGTTTTGTGGTCTTGACCACTTTCGTAGCTACATTTTTAATTTTTCCGAAGTCCTAACTTTGCTTTAATATGTATACGACCATATATTATTCATATAGATATAGTTTAATATATTTAGCTTAAAATACTCTTAAATACGTATAACATTTTAATTATTATTAAGTAATCTATCATTATTATTGTCTGCACAACAGATTTTTTCTTACATAAGATTTATTACTAATTATTATATATTATTATATTATTTAACTATGTGAAACAACAATAATGAAAAAAAACATATTTTATATAAGTAAAACAGTTTAAGGTATTTTTAATTAATAGTATAAACTTAGTGAATTTCAATTTTTTTTTCGCTTACAATATACGTAGAAGCTAAGTGCATTTATTAAGTTTTTATTAAAACGAAAATTAATTATTTAAGAAAAAAATAGCGTCAAGGTAATTTATAATATAATAATATGTTGAATAAAATTTCATCTATTCGATCAAAAATGTATTTAGAAAGAGAGAGAAATCGTATTAATTGTGCGTTCAGATTTAACAATGATTAAAGCGCGCAATTTAAAAATATATATCATGTTTTAATTAGACCCAATACTTTTCTTTAATTAGCTTAAGAGTGCAAGTTAAAATTTAAACGACTTTAATTGATTTCTAATAATGAGTATTCCAAATATAGTTATTGTTAATAGGTCATTTATTCTACTCATATGTATATAATTTTATAAGCTTTATATGTAATATTATGTCTACTTTTATAACATACAACATTTTGTTAATATTAAGACTTACACCTAGTAATATTGGAAGACTTTTGTGATATTGTTTGTTGTGATAATTCTTGGTTGATTCCTAAAACTAAAGAGGTTATAGCAACAAAATATGATTGAAAACTCCTTTTATCTCTTATTAGGGATATTTCGTTTTTATATTTACGAAATGGCTACATCGAAAATTCGAGAAAGTGATACGAAATTGAATCGAAGCTGAGCGAAAGGATAACTAATTAACCTCCAAACTTAGTTATTATTTGGCCACTAAAACGGCCGCTTAGTATGACAAAAAAGAAACAGCAATAAGGATTGCAAATATAATCATTAAACGATTATAAAATTGAGCCAGTGTAGTAGCTTTTTTTTTTATGTTTTTTTACATTTTTTTTTTATATTTTTCTAACATCGTTGATTGATACCATCATATTTTGTTGCAATAACCATGACCTTTATTCATAATTCATTCATACATACATCCATACAATTTGAAAAAAGAGTAAACGAATTGATAATTTTTATCTATTATCATAAAACTTATAATTTATTTAAAAAGATGAAGATTAGCTTTAAAATTATGAATGGAGTCGTTTTTTTAAATCAGAATTAATATTTGTGGCATAAGGTAGTGAAGTCAAGGTAACTAACCTCGTTATAGCATGTGCAAACATAGATCGGACCTTCTATTAATAATTTTATATGTTAATAATAGAAGTTATATCAGAAAGATTAATTTCACATCACTAGACATGTATGCATTATACCTACGTGAATTATAACAGAAACGGTAACTTTCAAAATTAAAAAAAAATTAAAGCTGTAAATAACACAAACACCATTCATCATCTGTATTCAGCCACAATTCTTTTATCACTTGCGCTCAAATTAAAAAAAAAAACAAAGTTTTATTCTTTCTCTTTCATGCCATTATTATAACATTGTACACATCTAAAATACGCTTAAATTTTTATTTATAACCTACGAGAGAAAATATTATTCATTATTTTGTATATTTTAATACTACACAACATACTACAAAAGCTAATTTTAATAAAAAAATAAACTGTCAAATTAGTACAACACAAAAAAACTAAATAAATGGATTTGGAATGTCTTTATTTCATTAAGTCTGTGCAATCAATTAGCACAAAATGTACGTTATCAAGAACTTGTGACATCATGTGTTCTGATTAATTAAGTCTATTTTAAGGCGGGAAACCGCATGAAAGTCTATGGATTTTTTTAAAGACAAACGTTTTGTATTACAACGTCCAAAGTTTGATTGTGTTGGAATTTTTATGGATTACTTTTTCTCGTTTGAACTTTCTAATGTCAGGTAAGTGATTAAATATTTATTTAAAAGAACTTCATTTTATTTCGGTACATGTTATAATAATTTTATATTTGTTAAAATTGTTAATTTATTAAATTTTAAAGAGTTATAAGTATCTAATTATCAACCTCAAAGAGCGGTCTACACTTTACAATTTATTTACAATGAAACAAAAAAACATCGAATATTATTAATTCTTCATAATACTGGCTACACCAACACTATCTACTGTAACACGATTTTATGAATTGAAAAATTTAGGGAGTCGAAACAAATTTTGTATCAACGGTCCATTTGAATTATTGCGATGTCTTTTTGCAATGTTGCCTTTGCCTTTTAAAAATCTCAATAATTCAGCCGATGATTTTAATTGACTGGTAGGTATGAAAGGAAAGGAAAAAAATAAAAAATAAAAGAAAAATATTTAATAAGTGACTAGAGAAAAGAGATACAAATAAATAAATCCTTTAACAATTATTAACCATGTTTTAACAAAAACTATACATTTATAAGGAGTGTAATTATTAATTTAACTTTAACTTTTATTAATAATTAAATAACCAAACTGTCCATTTACCATTTCAATACATTTAAAGAACATTAGTAATTAAGTATATACAGCAATATATTATGTGATTTAAGACTTTGATATGTCGAATATGTTTAAAAATATAACAGAAAAACATTTTAAAAAGCTATTAAAAATATAAGAAACAAGTGCAAAAGAAATTATACTTTTAAGTTAATAATGCAATCGCGTGTTCAATACATGATACGTGCTGAGGCTATTGACGTTGCGCGACCTATTGCCATTCCGTGGCCTATTGGTGTTTGGTGACCTATTTACGTTACGTGGCCTATTGCAGTTATGTGGCCATATGCCGTTATGGGTCTATTGGAATGGGGCGCGGTCGCAGTTGCAAGCGGCTCCCCCTTGACCCTGGCGGCATTGCACGTTGCACCATGATGACCAGCTTTCCGCGGTGTTCAGACGACTTACCATAGCGTATTCCGGTGCTACAGCCGACGGATAGGTTTCGCGACATGCCGGACAACCTGTTGAAAATATTTAAATTGATAAAATAAGCTCAAAAAATTGCTAATTGTTTCCGATCGAAAAAATTTGTGGTTATTTCCATTTTTGAATTTAAAGGCCGCCGTATAATATGTTTTGATCGCGACAATAATGCGAGCAGCATTCGGTATGCTGACTGATGTCCGTGTACGGCAGCCTTTAAATATATTCTGATTAGTATGATAATATTTACTAAGTTAGGATCTATTGGGCAATTCATACCAGATAGTACGTATCTGTCGGTGATACAGAACGCGTCACATATTCCGCTCCAGTCGACCTCCTTCCGTATCACTCGCTCGTCTCTGTTACTGCAACTGCACAATGGCTCGCCTGTGTACATCAACTGGTTTTAGTTATTAACACCAATAGCATTTTCACAATGTCTTTGTCAACTAACATAATTGAAAACCAGTGCAAGGACTATTTAGGCTGTCCCTGCATACGCTGAGTTAGCTACTTTTGAAACACTATCAGTTTTGTTAAAAATCTGTGCTGTTTATTTTTTCTCTTACAACGTTAACAATGAGATTAAACACGTGATATTATAATTTTTGTTAACAATTGAATAAAAATGTATAATAAATTAAATTGTCATGTTAAAAGTAATTATAATCCAAAGAAAAATGTTCTATGGAAGTCGTAATTCCCGTTCTTAATCTGGCACGTTGAGGAAAAACGACTTTACTATCGTCGATAGAGGTAGACACATCCAGCAATTGACAAATAACTCACCGAGATGGTTCTCGCAGAGAGTTGGGCACACGTACACCCTGGGCTCGCCGTATACCACGTCGCTGGTGTTGCCGTCGGACAGTGCGCTCTGAAGACCCACCGGCATGAGCTGTGGGCAGCTGGCGCCGCATGCGGTGCCGCCCAGACCTGGACACAGGCATAGCATTACAGCGAACAATTCAACAAGCATGAGCTGATTCAACCGAGAGTTAAACGTAATATTTGCATAAAATCATATTTTAATAAAAAAGATAACTTTATGTCTTTGTTCATTTCTTCGGGTAATAGAAAAGTTTTGTGTAAAAAAACCTATGACACTCTAAGGACAAATATGAATCGAATGACCTTACTTTTTGAAAATCGATTTTAATTAGCTATCCTTTCGGTAGTTCGGCTTACCGATCAATCGTCGACCCAATAGTATTTTTTCTCAAAGCGCCTATTACATAGAAAGAATCGTTTGGACCAGTGGGATTTTTTTTATTGTATAAACTCTATTGGCCAAATGGAAAATGTATTCGGAGAATCATAATTTGACAAAATATAATATGTAAAGTCAAAAATAAAGCGATCATCAAAAAATATCTATAACACTGTAAAATTATTGGAACTTAAAATAAAGACAATGATAATGAAAAAAAAGAACGCAAAAACATTATGCAATTACTGCCATTTTATTTATAATTTATAAATTTTAAAATCACTCACCGATCAAATAATGTTAGCGCCATATGAACAAAAACTGGCTGAATGCAACACAAGACAAGAAACAAACAAAAAATAAATAAAAAAAAAAACAAAAACCTGCGTGACAAAGGTCCGCACAGAGATCGGTCCGGGCCGGCACTGAGGGCGCCCTCTGGCCCTGCCTGAACTGTGCGAGGTATATCCTATTTAACGCCCCTCCGTCGTACTTCAGCTGAAGGACTACTTCCGGCCTCTGAACCTCTCTCTTTCCCTCCCCGGTCGCCTCGAGTCCCATTGGTTCTTCAACCACCCCATCCGTCACCCCGCCCCCGGAGGTGCAGAGGGCGAATGTAAAACAACACACGCCCACAAGGGTGAGAATCGTTTTTGCCTTCATCTGTGAAACAAAAGCTTAGATTAAAAATAAAAGCCTTTGTTTAGTCAGATTTTATTGTTTTTCCGTTCTATGTTTGTACAAAGGAAAGATCGAGCTTTGTTACCGGAAAGCAGAAAGCATTTTTATGATTTCACTTTTCTTTTTTGTAATTTACTTTATTTCCGCGAAAGTAGAAATATCTAAAAATATAGGATATAGACAGAAAGGTCTGAATTTATTTGCAAGTATGATAAAAAGTTTAGGTGCAAGTGTGTTTGACTTAAGCCCTTCCAAAAATCTACTGAAATTATAAATTCCAGAAGGCAAAGTGAACAAAAAAATCATTCTACTATTATCAATCGATGCAATTTGTACTTAAAAGTCTAAGCCCTTTCTTACAAAAGGCTACGTAAATCTTTGAATTTATTACTGTATTGCTTTGCACGCGCTCCACACAACTTTGAACCGTCGACGCAAGTCAAGTCGTCTTTTCAATCAGTAAACGCATACCAATAACGTGTCAAATACTAGATATGCTCGGCCATCTCGTAGGCCTCCTCCAAAGATCACCACGATGATCGGTCCTGTGCTACCCACATCCAAGATAATCCCGCAAACTTGCCCAGCACATTGGTCCATCTTGCGGGAGATCCATCTTAATTATTTTTGTTTACTTTACTGCTTATTAATATAAAAACTAATGTTGAGATGGATGTATATTTGTTAGAATGTATCTGCAGAACGGCTGCATGGATCTCGCTGGTGTTTGGCTTGGCATAGATGTAAACCATAGTCTAGAAGAACACATAGATAACTAATGAAGTTTTTTTTAAATCCGCGCGGAGCTAGAGTCTTGTCATTTAATTTTTTATATATTGGTATGCATATAAGCTAATTAATAACCTTGTTTACTCTACTATTATCTATTCGTATCTGAAAAGTGTATATTTATTACAATGGATTTCCACATGACGAAGTAAATTCAAGGAACGGATGAAATATTTGTAGTTCTTTTTAGTTATTTCCGTTTGTTGTAAATCTCCGCATTTCCAAGACAAAGTGCAAACTGGAGCAAAGAGAGACTATTGAAGCCCCCGAGGGCAAATACAAACGAATATGTACAGTCGTTAACATAACATTTAAAGTTTTATTTGTAAGAATTCGAATTATATTAGTGGAAACTGGAAATATACATTTGACAAACACTTTTCTTTTATTTATTTTCCCTTAAATATATTCTAATTGAAAATAATCTATAATATTTTTGATTTTGTCGATAATACGAAACATATAAATAATTTTTAATCTTTAATTCTGTAATTTAATACATAAATGAATTTCAGATATAAAGAAGGCGCCCTTGTAGGTTGAGAGAAGGCTCTATTGGTTTAAAAGAGATGTCGCTATACGTAAGAGTAGGAAAGAGACATAGGTAAAAGATTTATCTTACTGTCTGTACTTGGGCGTCGTGCGTCACGACTCGCCCTAGATTGTGAAACTTTACGCTTACGTCAAAGTTTGCCTTCTATATTATTTTATCTAATATCCTTCATATAAAATTGTAAAAAATATCAGCGATCTTTCTTCTATTTGATCAGATTAGACCATGCGAAAATTATTCCTTCATTATGTTACCATTTATTTTTACCTTAATTTGATATCATCACCAGCATGTTTTTTTGTATCTTCATATATTTTGGTGTAAATCAAAACTACTAGAAAACGTAGCAGTACCTTTTTACTGCTGTACATTGCCTGTTAGCTTGTTTCTTTACCAAATGAAAAAATTGAATATTATAAATGTGTTTTAATAACGCATCAGAATTTATTAACGCTATGTATAAGGTGTTTTTATATTCATAATTTTGGTATACCAGAGTTAGTAACATAAAAGGCGAATAAACAGTTTCTTGCATTAATTCATAATCGATTTTTTAAAAATATTTTTAATAATTACAATTACATAATTATTATATTAATTAGTACTCAGAATAAATATATTTATCTTACAAACATGCTTAGAATTTAAAACGTAAATGAATTTTAAAGAAAGGACTTGTTATCGCCCTTGTAAGTTGGGAGAAGGCTCTATTGGTTTGAAAGAGATGTCGCTATACGTAAGAGAAGGAAAGAGAAATGCCGAGTATTGATCGGTCGCGTTTATATACTTATGTTATGTACAAAGTTCTATGTACATCTCGCTTGTGCGCCTCCACAGATCCTGAGAACGCTAGGTATTTGTGACTGATTGAATTTGATTTGAAGTATGCGGAATGTAATACCTTTTTATAATATGTATAATATATAGATTATTATTCAAGGAGTTTTTACACTTTAGCAGCCATTAAATCTAAGAAAAAAGAAGAAATTTAAACTTTTGAATTTAGTAATGTCAAATCAGTTTTCTATGTCTTTCTGTTATTTATGTTCTACAATATAAACATATTTTTCTGAAAACAAGGGTTTTTTTTTTATTTTAATAAAATAGGTTATTAGGTCGCTAATATTTTTTTCTACAAAATAGTAGCTGCTTAAAACATACATATACTATGATTTTTTTTTCTATTTCACATATTAAAAAACAACATTCTCAATGTTTTATAAAAAAAGACAAAACAATGTATTAATGTAAGATTTTCTACAGAGAAACTGAACTGTAAAGATGTTAATTAAGATTCAAAAATAAACTGTAAGGGCAACAAAGAGTCTACTATGGCTTACAATACAGTTTTTTACGACTTACAACTCTACGGCATTTACTATTTCTGTACATAATTATAGTCGGAATTAAATTCTTTTAAATAATAGTACTATAAAGAACTTTCAGACTTTTTTTTACAGTCAATCTTAATGCAATTTAATCTTGTTACAACACACATCCATAATTCCCTTTTATGGGATGATTTCTCGATCATCATCATCATCAACCAGCTCTTATCCCTACGGAGGGTCGGCAATGTCTGTACTACTCCATACATCTCTATCAGCCGTCATATCTCCACTCCCTTCTTACGCCATCCATCCAAACTTTTTCCTACTTACTCTACTTTTGTAGTCATATATTATTGTAGAAGATCGTCATTCGGCTTTATTATTTAACATAAAAGGCCTATCATTATTATATTAATCCTATAAATGGTTAATGAACATTTTATGAAGTTATTATTTAAGCTAGTACTTACCTCTATGGACTGCGCTTCGCCCGCACGTACGCCTCACTGCCCACAAATTGTACACTCTGATAAAAAAACCATTGCATATAGAGTATTATATGTCAGAGAGTCTTTTATAGAAACTAAAACACACTAGGATAAGTAGCCTTCCATATATTGGAGATGCAAATTATTAACGCCTTACAGATGCACCTTAAATGAACAAAGAGGAAAACAGGAATATTTATCTTTCTAACTAAACCAATCTCGGACAAATCTTTTATAGATAGAGCAGAATAATATAATAAGACTTTTACTTATAAAATTGAACCAGTATTTAGTTGCAAAATATCTCTTTCGTCTTCTGCACATTTCAAAAATTTTCAATAATTTTATTTCTCAAATGAATTCACTAAATAATTACAATGCTCTGTACAGAACTAAATCGTGCACTTCAGATAAGGTGTACACATCGCGAGCTTTCCACAAGCTTTTACCTGATAACAGTTATCGAGTAGCGACATCTGTTGCTGATTTTAGAGCTACCAGAAGATTATCTTTGCTGTAGATTAATTTTAACCAACACATCAGTGGCTATATATGTGATACTAGCTGTCGCCCGTGACACCGTCTGCGCGGACTTCAAACATAGCGTGATTAGTAGCCTCATATACGTATGTCTATAGTTATGATGATGATTTTAGGTTTTTACTGTGTCAGAGAATAATTCAAGAATAAAACGAATATCTTACTAATATTATATATGCAAAATTTTAGGTGGATGTATGTTTCTTACAACACATTGTCTACTAATTAAGTTTTTTTATAATTCCTTGCAGTCGGAGTCGCGGATAACAACTAGTATATAAGTACTAATATCGCTATAAAAATGACTCGTTAAATCATAAGTATTTGTAATAACCCATTACAAATATAATTTAACGAGCAACCGTAAGCCTGGCTGTATCGAACGGCGGGGGCGTGCCGACGCCCACGGACGTCATACGCCCCACCAAAATGGACGGCGTTAGGCCGAATGGGGGGCACTCACATCCAGAGGATGAGTAGGGGGTAGCATTGTTGAGAGCAAATGTGGCTGTCGCTGATAATATTCTAGGAATATGATAAGTTTCAAATTATTTGCTGTCTGGCAGCTTAAGAATTTCGCAATTTGCTAATATGAAAATTAAATCAAGCTTGTATTTATTCTAAGAATTATATAGAGAGCTATTATATAGAGTGATCTATATATAAGTTAATCTTAGAAGACTAAGGATAAAAGTTCATAGCTAAAAAGATACTTTACTTTGAATTAATTATACAAAATACACAGCGAACTGATGTGGAATAGTAGTACATTTTTGTTAATCTTAGATACATATTTAAATCGAATCATCATCAACCTACCCTTATCCCTATCGAGGGTCGGCACAGTATGTTCTACTCCTCTATACATCTCTAACAGCCGTCATATCCGAGTCTACCCCCTTTCTACGCATACCCTCTTTCACACAGTCATTCCATACTTTTTGGTCTTACTCTACCTTTGTAGTCATCCACATCCAATCTCATTACTTTTTTTGCTTATATCATCATCATCCCTCCTCATAACATGTCCAAACCACGCTAATCTTTTACTCCTCAATTTCTCGATCACTGGCGCTACTTTCAAACTTCCTCTAATATACACATTTTTGTATTTAAACTGAATACATTCTAGTAAAAAAAAAAAATTAGCTAATAAGATGACTGTGGCAAGTAACACCAGGATCTTTCCTAACATGCATGATATTAAAATAAATTGACTAGAAGTATTCGTTGTTTCCATTTGGTTTGTGTGGTTCAAGCTGTATCTTCCAGTTATCAAATTAGTATCTATATAATACAAAGTAATATGTTGTAATTCAAGTCAGTAGTTGTATTTCCAGTCCTCGCTTGTGTGGGCGACGGCTGCGTGGGTAGACCGGATGTAGCGTGGGTGAGGCTTACTACAAATTCATTGCCTTTGTTCCTAACGTATTTAGGAATTAAATAACTATGTACATATGACCTAACTATAGTTATAGTTTGGTATACATATATACCATCATGAATATAATTTATCTGACAAAAATATTAAGAGTTTAATAATATTTTTATTGTATAACTGGTGAACATTAACTAACTCAGAGTAAGGTAATTGATGATGGCTGTAGATGAAGTTTTTGTCTTTCATACGAACATCGATTAAAAAACTTGTCGTTGAACAAATGTCGCGTAACAATAACTGTTATATATGCAAAATAATTCAATAATACTAGAAATAACCATTTCCAAAGTGTATTTTCTTTAAGTTTATTTCTAAAGAGACGTTCTATTGAAATGTACTCTGTGCTCTACAAAACTAAATTAATTATTTCCAATGAGATAGAACGTGAGCTACATAGATATCTATGTACCGAAGCATAAATGCATTAAGCCCAGGGTATGGGGATGGGGGTGACCTGTTTCCAGCGTATTGACCAGCCCCCCTCCGGCCTCAATACAACCCCGCTCACCTTACGACCTTTTCAGCGCGCGTGCGCCGAGTAAGGCCCCTGAAAGCCTTCGCTGTGCTACCAGTCTAGCTCCAAACTTGTCCCAGACGAGGCAGCAGCTTCCAAAGCTGTTAACTACATATAAGTACCCTGAAAATCCATTCATATATGTTAAACATATACGAAAAATATATAACTCGCGAACCCAGTTCGTTTCGTTTATTCAACGATCCTTTTTCCCATATAGTTATCTGTTTCTCAACTAAAAATATATCTTATAAGTAGTGGTTATAAAGCTCATAATCTCTATATTATATTAAAATTTAAAGTATATCGTTAAGCAACACTTCAAATAAGGTTTGTATTTATGTATTTATATTATATATTTGTTGTATGTAGAAATTATTAGATTTAGAACACGCTATTCATATTTATACTCATTTTACAATACATAGAAGTATATAGATTGCATATATTTTATGTCTATGTATATTTGAGGTAGGATTATGGATTTTTAGCACATGCGCAGTACATCTGCGCACAAAAGTCATTATTATTTTTTATATCTTTTAAAAATATAGTATCAAATTTAAGTTGATTTAATTACAGCCGTTCGGAATTAAAGTAAATTCTTGTATTAGACAAAGTATCTTTTGAATTAATGATATTTTTTTTCTGTTTACAGACTAGAAATATCAAAACTAGAAGTTAGCGAAAATGTCAAAGCTAACTTTGGACGGCTTTTTTTCGTACTGCAAGCAAATAGCTGAACATATCCAGTTGGTTCGTTCACAAATCCATTATAGCCGCCATTTTCAGACGCCATCTTGGCAGCCATTTTGGTTTTTCGCTTCATATTCCTTTGTTCTGCATGATCGTTATAGTTTTGCTTATGTGAAAATCATTGCTTATGTGAACAATTTTGCTAACTTTAATATTATTAATAATCCTACACCTGTAATAATTCATAATGTGACGCGATATATTAAGTTTGTTTAATTATTTGGCTTTAGTAACTGTTAATTAATTATTACATAGTTAAACTATAAAGGAAATAGATACAAAATTAGGGATTTAATTTTGGAAAATATCTACTGCCATTTTATCTTTACTTAAATAATTTAAAAAGTAAACCTAATTAACTAACAAAGACAAATTTTTAATAATTTTTAAAATATTTTATGATGTCACTCACAAATGATATAATTAATGCCAAATATTATCCAAAGCAATGCTAATCGCTTTTAAAATTCTTAATATAAAGAGCTGTACTTTATTATTTTGGTACAATGTCATAATATAATAATGTATTGTTTTGTACAGGGCGAGAGGATGGCGTCCCTGTCCGGTCAGAGTACACCCAAGCTGACTTCGGCTGTCGGCAACTTGTACTACGACTGTGAGTATCAAGAACACACATTTAGTTTGTTTCATTGTTTTTAAAACAAAAAGAGATGGATTATTATAGAAACTCCAAATTTACGTACTGAATTTTGCCAGGTTGAGTTAATTTCAAACTTAAGTTTAATGTTTTTTTTTTAAAATATTATCGGTTCTATGTAGCAGTATTAATAATTAGCATTTAGTTCCATAAAGTTTTTGCAACAGAATAAACATGCGCTCTTTTTAAAAATATAACTATATTAAAATCAATTAAGCTTATAAAAGTGAATGCATTCAAAATGACTACTTAACCTTCTATACCTTTTTGTGTAATAATTACATTAAAAGAATTTTAATAAAAAAACATTTTTATTTCTATTAAAAAGATAAAATCTTAGTTAAATCTTTGCGTATCAAATATCAATCCACCCTATGATTACAACATTACACGCTCGTGCGCGTCATTTCCTGAACGTCCGCCGCGGACGTAACGCCATCTACAGGAAAAGAGATAAAAACTATCCCGTAACTTGACACTTTACTTCACGAATGTACTTATCTACTGTCCCTATATAAAACATTAATTTTAAAGAAAATGTAGACGAAATCTTGTAGGTTTGCTCTACTTTGTTAAGAAGATAATTAAAAAAATAGGTTCATTGTTTTTAGGGTTCCGTACCTCATAGGAAAGAACGGAACCCTTATGGGATCACTTACTGACAGACGGACGGACGGACTGTTGTCCGTCCGTCAAGACCCTTTTTTTTATACAACCAGAGTCAATACATATTGCCTTTGAATAATATTAATTGAATGAAAATGATTGTTGCAAATTCGGTTTGATTTCTGTTGCTTGTTTTCATTCACTAGCATAATTAACGACTTGGTGACAGTTTTAAGTGCTGGAGCGGCATGAATAGTGATTAATCGCTTAACTTTTTAGATCCATAATGGGACGTGTTGTGGGATATGGTGTTCTACTTTAGCACTAAAATAAAGTATAGTAATTCGTTCATTCCTTCGTCGTAAGTAATTGTAGGATATTAAAAATTATGTGCGTGTATAAAATTACAGATAGAAGTCGAGAACGATAAAAAAAAAGATGATCGTGTATTCTACGTTCCAATTAAAACTCTACATAAATTACGTTTATTACGTATATTTTTTACAAAATAACAAAAATAAACAAATATCGTAATGGCAGCCATGTATAGAATTTCTCTGTTTACATAATTTCGGCGTTGGATTGTTACGAGACATATTTATACTCTTTATGTCGTATTAAAATACAAAAGTCTACTCTGTAAACTAGAATATAAAAGAGCTAATATTTGCCGTTTATCTTGTTTTGCTTTGCACCGCGCGCCATAATTTATTTCCGGGGCTTACCGCTGCCACTGCGAGTTGCCCGCCTCATAGCCCATAGACACTGATTGTTTTCTTTTATTTACGACTATAGACTAAAGAGATTGCGGTTATTTGTCTCTGGCTTTGGGAGTGGATTTACTTTTTATGATTGTTTATTTTGAATGACACAACAGTGGAAATAATTTGTTTAAGTAACTTATGTAACTACTAGCTGTCACCCGCGACTCTGTCCACGCGGAATTAAAAAAAACCTTATTTGATAGGCAATGTGTACTTCCAGACTATGTACTACATTTATACTAAATATTAGCGATATTTATGAGGCCGTTTTGGACAAACCTTCTAACAAAGATCCATCCAACCAAACATTATTATAATGGTTTAGACAGCAAGAAATAAGATTGTTGCTTCACTTTCAATGGTTATTTCCTAGGATTTATAACAAAAATAGGGCTAAATATACTTGAATATTTTAGTACTAATTAATTTCAAAAACTAGTCTTTTATATATCCCGTGTAATCAAACCCGCATACAATGGTCGCAAATAACTTGGTATACTGTGCACAGGGGCGGGGGATACTCACCCTTAACGGAAGGGTGTGAGGATTAGTGTCGGGGAAGTGATCTTCCATGTTTTTTGTTAATTGATAAGTTTACAAAGTTTAAATTGAATTTACTTCCATATGTTGCTTGGCGAATACAAAGAAACGTCACCTAACGAATTGAATTCCGTTTTTGGACTTCATTTTTACTTCAAAGTTTTTAAAAGACCACTGATGAGATAATAAATTTTGTCAGATTCAATGACTTCAAAATACCAAATATCGAATTAACACGCAGACATAAACTGTTGTATTGTACAATTTGTTCTTATTTCTCACTTGAAGTGTCTACGTAATATTATTAATATCATATTATTATGAGATAATTAAATTTTAAACGTCTTAAATTACTGAGCTTTTATTTCTTTTTTTAAATTTAAATATTTTTAACATAAAATATTTCAATATGTACTTCTTCGTAAGCTACTATGAAACAATTAGTTGCGTTTAGAGAGCTAACCCTCCGACCGCCGCTGGGGTCATAAATAGTCCGCATTTGGGACAACTTGAACCGTCCTCTTCCGCGGTAATGACCCTGGTTTTACTCTAAATCCCTCATTTGAAAGGATCTCAATGGAATACAGTGCAGTAGACATTTTACTTTATTTTTATTAGAAGATAACAAGGATTACGCAAGTGTTGTTGTGGCGCGGCTCTTCATGATTTTAAGTTCAATCAACTAATGAATTTTACTAATTCTAAATAAAATCAGAAAATAAATTATTGCTTAATAGCTTGTTACTGATGTTGTCTAATTTCCTGCATACGATATGAGTCACAGCTTAGAAAGTAAAAGACGGGAGAAAAAACTTCTATATATTATAATAAAAAAATCACAATATTGTTTTAACTCTAGAATAAAAGTCATCGATAAAAATAATTAAATATATACATTTCTTTTAATTACAAAATTTTTGGTACTAACTGTTATTTGAATCATAAATGATTCATTGATCATATTGAGGTTAGAACGGGCACTTTAATTAGAAGTTTCTTTTAAAATATTAGAAACTATTTTCGCACTTGTAATATAAAGACTTAATCTAAGAATCTCTAAGAATATAAAACATCAATTTCCGCTTTAAGCCCACAAGAGCCGCGCGCTATCAATTCCGTATTGGGGATGTTATTGATTTACTGTTCGAAATAGTGGAGAATTGTCGCCAATTTTCGTATGAAACAATTATTTTGCTATCACTATTAGCACTACATAGTCAAAACAAAGATTCAGAAAAATCAAATTGCATGATAGTTTTGATAAGGTAATAAGTAACGAATACCTTTTGACTATAACTAAAATAGAAATATTCATCTTGTATGCTTAAAACAGGCAAATTTTATATCAGGAATTGAATTAAAAACTCATAATTATAAAAGTATTGTTAAGAACATTTTATCTATTAAAATAACTATAATAAAACATTCTTCTGTACGTATTCTTCTCCAAACTTTCAATTATTCGTCCGTATAGAATGCCATCAACCCTCGCGCAGCTGTGTTATTGCATTGTGCATTGTACTGCGAGGCCAATCGCCCCCGGGATGCTTTAAGTGAAATTCCGCGCATTCCTCCAGTGAAGTAATGCGATGTACTTCAATGTAAATTTCTAAAAGACAAATTTTTTACATAACTACTGTGTGTTCAAAATAAAAAAAAGTAAAAGTAAAAACGTAAAAAAAGGCTACATTTACTGAAAAGGCAATAATTACCATATTAAAAATACTATTCTTAAAAGTTTTAACTAAAGAAAACTAAAAAAAAAATAGTAAATTGCCAACGAAACTGCAGTTTTTTCTTTTGCGTAAATTCAAAATGATGGTAGGTAGATTATAAAAATATTTTTCTTTTAGCGAATATTCCCAAAATGCACATCGCGATGACAATCGGCTTACGATGTCAGAAACATAAGTTCACACAAATCTTTCTCCCTACATTTCATTCCACGCTTAAACTACTCAAAATGAACCTTAACATACATTGATAAGATTCAATGTTGCTTGTAAATACTGGTAACTCCCGAGTTGAGAGCAACATCTGGAATGTGATGTAATGCTTCACAATTAAATACCCTTCGAATGGGGGCTAGTCAATATTTGCTCAGAGCAAAGCTGTTAGAATCGCACCTTTTACAAAAATAACTATAAAATGTTGTCTTAAAAAAACTTCCATACTTAGGATTCAAATTTTTTGAAATGCCAAAAAATCGCATTAGAAAAACTTCCATACCTGCCATATTTTCGAAAAATTAGTTAACCTAACTATAAAATTAAATCCAGAATCGATATCTCAATTACTCGTCGTTACAACAGTTCGAAGATGTGTAAATAATGTGTTAGGGGCTCATCGTAGTGCATTTGACAGTGGTAATAGTGTTAGCATCTGCGGATTATGACGCCAGACGCCCACAGCGGCGCAAGGGTTACAGATTAAGGACAAAGCACTTACTATGTCATATAATATAAAGTGATTTTTGTTGTTTTACGCACTAAGTACGAATTACAAGACCAAAATAAATCTTGGCACGATTGTATATTAAAAAAATGTTACGTATGTGAATTTATTATCTTAAGTATTTTAATAGTTATAAAAGAAATTTTGGAGAATTTTACGTCTCGTTTAACATACATATATAATAATGTTTCTACATATATATATAAATATTTAGAAACGATTTTAATATCCCCTCGGTGCGTCCGAATAACAAATCAAAGACATCTGTGTTGGCTGACTATTATTACAATATGACGTCGCACATGAATACTTTGCCTACATTACTGTGTCCACAAGTTTGCTATATTTTTATTGATAAGTACGGATAACAAATTTTTTGTTATAATTAAAATTTTATATTATTTTTTTAATTAGCAATAACACTTTTTTTTATAGTTATTTACTTATGTAAGAGTCCTCCGTAGTTATATAAATAAAGCAATCGAATAGTATTAATACTAAGCTCACAAAGTTAGTTTAAATAATAAAATCAAAGACAAATTAATAATACTTATTGATGATTAAAATACTTTATATTTACATAACATGGTCACCTTAGCATTTCAAGTTTTTGGACGTAGCAGGGGTTGTTATTGAAAGCAGCGACTTTTTAATCAGGGCCTTTCGTAGCAGCGGCTGAGGGGTTAACACTGATATTACAACTTGCTTTCCCTAACAAAAGGAATAAGCACTGACAAAGCACACAGAACAAGCCTGGATGAGCTACGACAATGAATTCAAACTTTAGAAAGTACGATGTCTACGAATCTCTGAGACGACTTATTTACAATAAGACTTCTTATATTGTTTGAACATTCAAACGTGAAATCTTGATGTTTGTAATTTACTCAGCTTTACAATGTGTACAATAAAAGACTACTTATTTACGTTTTATTTACGTTTACCTTTTCGTAGCATTATATGCTACGAACTGCTATGAAGTTTTAATTAATTTAATCTTAACTTGACAGGACTTCGGCATCCTCTTTGAACGGAAGTTATTATTATGCTGCAATCGATTTAAATACTTTTCATATAATCGTATTTACATGTGCAATTGGTTTGTAGCCATCTTGCCGTACCGTGAAGACGCGAACGCGCAGACGCGGGAGTTCCTGGCGCGCGTCGTTGACGTCCTGCTGGATTACGTGCAGCAGGTGAACGACAGGAATGAGAAGGTGAGGAAATAGTACGGGTAGTTACCAAGTACAACATGTTAATGTTATGTTGTACATATTAAACATTTTCTTTATTGTGCTAGATCTTGGACTTCAAGATGCCAGAAGAGATGGAGAAGATGCTGGACCTGCAGCTGCCAGAGAACCCGCTCCCGCTGAAGCAGCTGCTCGAGGACTGCAAGATCACGCTCAAGAACCAGGTCAAGACAGGTAAGTTGACACCCGCACAACTAACATGTTATTACGGGAAGGAATTATTGCACTCTTAAGTAAAATAAGCATGGAAACTAAGTATCGAGCAATGGCACAACAGTAGTGGAATGAATTTAACCCTCAAACAGGTTGCATTCCGCTCGGGCAAGTGTAAGTAACGGCGCGCGATCATCGCGGACCATTTGTGGACATAATTGAATTGTTTGATGCCGGCTCCGGAGCGGGGATGTACAATATACCCTGATTGCCCTCCCTCCCCTACTCCCCTGCATCCCTCTGCCCCTGTGAGCGCGCTAGTTGCAAACATTGTTGTCTACGTGCTTTGAAACTAAAGTATTTAAGTAACAGTACTAATTTTGTTGTATTCAATAACATGAATAACGTACAAATTATATGAATATCTAGGTAGTTAAAAGTTATGACATATTTTTGTGTCACATCTCCTTGGTTATTAATCTTAATGAAACAAAGTTTTCGAAAATTTTAGTTTTTCAACCATATCACGGATACATCGGAATTTTTAAAAAAAAAATTAGAGCTCGGAAAATAATCCAAGTCGCAGAAAATGCTTTCTCTATTCTCGGATCTTAATTAAAAGTCGAATTTATACCAAACATCCATTACTTACTTGAAACAAAAGCTTTCCGAATGATCCATACGTCAAAGGTCTGCGATGTGCAAGATTAGGGCGCTGCGAGACAGGCGCGCGGGCCGCGGGTCGCATCACATGCTCGGTCGCGCGTGTGTAATCGCCGCCGGCTGCGGGCGACGCCGGTAGGGCATCGATTTCGAGACAATCTCCGGATGCTGGAGAGGGAAATGATTACTATTCCAAATACAAAGGAACGCATAAAACACGGTGCTTTTCTTTTAGAACGACCTAGTTACAGGTCCTACTGATTAATGGAAAGGATATTTTATTATGTCTTATTTCTGCTATGATTAACATTAAAAGGCGTTACATAAATGCTTGCAAGAAATAAATAACTCAAAAGTATTTGTAATTGTTCAATTGTTGATTTACACAACATATACCAATGTTAAAAACGTTGCAATTTTTGTAGCACGTCTACGAACTCCGTGTTTCATAAAATATTTGCTTCATAAAAGAAATCTTGGCTTTACTTTTCTATTACGCTCGTGTGTATAAAATCTATTTACAATACAGCTATTTATATTCAGCGACCCTAAGCAGTAAAAACAATAAGTGCGCCATAACGCGCCGCTATAGCACCCGCGTTGATTTACAAGAGGCTCTGCGGCCCTAATGCCACGCAAATCATTGGATTAAGCCACCGGTGTAGGGTGACCACATTTTTTTATTTACAATACTCATATCACTGGCTTAGTTAATGATAATGTGTGATATTATCACACGAACATTTTTGTTCAGTTCCAATTAAAAAAAAATATTCATACCTTTTCTTAACAACACTAAGCAGAAAGAAATGTTCCTTATCAATGTCATGTCATGTCAATCATCAAATGTTCCATATCAAATTAATGTTGTTATTTATACTATCTATCAAGCAAGCATCGATTTGGTGTTTACATAGTACATGTTTATTTAGGATAACATTTTTAATTCAAACGAGAATATACGTACAATTTGTCTTATGGACATGGTCACCCTACCCGCACGCCTCCGCGCAATCTCCCGTCCTATTGAAACCCGTATTAACATAGTTTGATGGATCATCCCCTTGTCCGTCCGTCCATTGTTGAATATAGATTAGGATTTGGAGTTATGGATTGATTTTTATGGACTCCTCGGCTTTGTGGGATAAAGTTTACAATGGAGGAGATGGTTTTCAAGTAACTAGTTATTTATAAGGCGTAAAAAATACAGAAAACCAGCAATATTATAGTAAACCTTTCAAAACCATAATACGACTTAACACTTTCGATGCCACTATAATTATTACTTTATTTGTTTTATAATGCAACTAAATTTCTGCATAAACAGAACGCAGTCACAATGGCCGCTGATTGCTGTCAGTTTGACAGCGCGCCACGTGCCAAATGTCATTGTCATTATTAACTCTTATAGCGTTTCGAATAGAGTTTGAAATAATTCGATATTTTTGTTTATCTGTGGATAGGAAGGAAATGTATCTGGCATAGAGGGGACGATCCCGTGGGATGGTTGCGGTGCGAGATAAGTGGGCTTGAAAAGATGTTGTATTGACTCGAAGAGTGCTTGTGTCAAGGGTTATCTGTTCCGATATTTTCTGTTCATGACGTGCTGTTAAGATATGTCATAAAATGTTTATAGTAAAGTTTATTTTTATTAATATATTCTATATGGAGTTTAACTTTACTTAACTGTATATTACTCTGACTTTAGTAATTTCAAATTTAGCAAAGATTTACAAGACGGGAATTTTAAAAAATCGTATAGTATAGTCCTTACTACTTTGAGGTGAATTTAACAACTAATTACATGCAATAGAAATTAAACAACCAAATAATTTCAATACAAACACTAAGACCGATTTCCCAAAAAATCTCCCCACACCAGTGCTGCCCTCTAAAATGCAGATTAAATGGGAATTATAGCAACACCTGACTTGGCGAACCCGAATTAATTGCGGCCCCATCTGGCCGCGTACCGAGGGGATTATATTAAATTCCTCTTGACGAATTAATATTATTTTTGTTGTGGCAGCCCCATCTCTATCGCAAGCAAATGAATTTACACTTTACTCGTATGTAATTGAGCTTAAATTAAATCTATGTAGTTCATCCACAGTCTATAGAATTTATTTCGAATGTTTGTTTGCTCGAAGAGTTTTTAATTTTAGATTGAGAACGGAAAATGGATTTAATTTTAGTGTCTTTATTGTTTTTATTCTGATAGTTAGTCACTACTATATTAATTTAGCCTTAATTTTTATAAGATATCGTTTTTTTACATATTAGGCTGTTAATACTAAACAATATTCATGAAATATTCCACTGATAACCGCAGAGGACAATGCAGCTAATTTAAATTCCTGTCGGTTTTGATTTAATTCTGTTTACCCACCCTCGGCTGTGCGGCGTGATAGTCGGCCCCCGGGGACCGCACCGACCGCCTCCGTGTTAGCACTTTATCATTTCATTATAAAAAAAACACACACTATCGTCGTAGAGGGGTAAGCAGGGATTAGTAGCCACATGGTTAAATGTTAGTTTTGATAACATGTGTTGAAATAGTTTTTTTTTTACTTTACCAAATTTATGCATAAAAATTAAATCTTGGTTTAATTATGTCGTCACTTATCTGGCAGCTATTATAGATGAAGTCTGAACAGTGTACAGAGTGAAATATAAACATAAAAAACGCTATAAGTATAAGTAGAAGATAAACGCGCCCCAATTTTATAACTCATCGCCCTTGTGTCTGTTATCAGAAAAAGAAATATTACAAAATATTATCTGTACCGGAAAAGGCGGGAAGATTGACACATAAATAATATAGAGACGTGTCCTCCGGGGACATTTAAAAAGAGGAGGGTCTACTGCAGATGAAACTAAACTTACTAGGTCGTAAACGTTACGAAACTATTAGAAATCTGTGCCGCCATGTTTGGGGATAGATGAACTTTATACAGTATTTCTTACATTTTTGAATAAAGAGCATCTTGTTTTCATCTTGTCAAGGTTTATACCTGAGAAAGATGCAGTTTTAAACTGATAAGGGAAGTGAAAAAAAAAACTATTTTTCTTTTAATAATGGTCGCGGTGAAATCATTTCCCCTCGGATGTTTCGCAATCGTCCAGTGCGGCGACGCGCGCTATTACTTCCGGTAACAACGCGATGGACCTTTTGTTTGTGATTTTTCTTTACACTACGACAAATATTAATAATAATACTATTCATATGCATTTGACCATGATGACCATGACCATTTCTAAAGAGACTGTTGAAAAAGTTTGAATTGCAAAAACAGGAAGTATACAAAATACTTAACTCATCTGTATAGCAGCTGTTCTAGTCATTTATAGTATTAAGTAACCCTAAGGTGTGTCTCAGGTCACCCGCACTTCTTCAACCAACTGTCGTGCGGGCTGGACATCATCTCTCTGGCGGGCGAATGGTTGACCGCCGCAGCCAATACCAACATGTTCACTTATGAGATCGCCCCTGTCTTCATCCTCATGGAGAACGTCGTGCTCGAGAAGATGCGTTCAATGATCGGCTGGAAGTGCGGCGACTCCATACTGGCACCAGGTATGTGGAGAATGGTATTAATATGCTAGATTAAATCCAGCTAGAATGTAGAAGAAAGAAATTTTTATTTTAACTATGCTTTACGCGGTTCAGGGGGTTCGGTGTCGAACCTGTACGCGTTCCTGGCGGCGCGTCACCATAAGTTCCCGCAGTACAAGGAAAAGGGTCTGTCCAGCATCCCCGGACATCTCGTCATGTTCACCTCCGATCAGGTCACTTACATTTAACTACACACACTTATTAATTGTTAAAAGATTTTCTGTGGCTCTAATCGATTCTAAAATTGTCGCAACAAAATTTCTTTTTCATTCACTTTCAAATCACTGTTTATTTTGTAAGTTTAAAAAAATATTATAATATATTTAAATCAGTAAGAACTGATTTTAAGAAACATCTATAGGTTCAGATTAATTGTGTTCTTTGTCAAGCAACATTTTGTGTTGTACAGTGTCACTACTCGGTGAAGTCGTGTGCGTCTGTGTGCGGTCTGGGCACCGACTACTGCGTGTGTGTGCCGTCGGATGAGCGCGGTCGCATGCTGCCCGCGGAGCTTGAGCGTCTCGTGCGCTACCACAAGGATCGTGGCAACGTTAGTATCCACTTCCTGTGTCAAGATAATGTCCCGCCACCACTCTCATGTCACAGTCATGTGTGCCTAGATATTATCTCTTTAGGTTATTTTGATTAATACGCTACCAGATCGCAGTCATGTCAGTATTGTATAACTCGTTTAGATAAGATTCAATAAGAGTCAACAGAAGACCACGGTATCATAATTAAGTAGAACACTGTCGTACTTTTACCAAACATTATGGTCCTTCGAGTCGGATCTAACTTATATCAGCTCTGTAGCCTCTCTCGGCATGAAATGAATATAGACTGACTTATGTTTTGCGTGTGCAGGTACCATTCTTCGTAAATGCGACATCCGGGACGACTGTGCTTGGCGCTTTCGACCCCCTCATCGAGATTGCTGACATCTGTCAGAAATATGACATGTGGATGCATGTTGATGTAAGTGACAATCTATGGTCGTACTGTAACTTTTTCATAAAACTTATATAACAAGAGGTTTCTTTGTAGGCTGCTTGGGGAGGTGGACTGCTGTTCTCTAAGAAGTACCGTCATCCTCGTCTTACTGGCATTGAACGGTAAGTGTCTGAGTTAACTGTACTTAAATACCAAAATATAGTAAATATTATTTAATTGCCTTATACTTGATGCAAAAGCTATACAGTTTGCAGTACATCTAAATCCGCTCAGAGAATTAATCCTCCATTCCCGCCATTAGCCGCCATCAATCATGGCCGCGCTAAATGCCGATGCTCTGTGCGAGGGAGGGGGCGGGGAGGGGACGGGGAGGGAAATCCGTTCGCACAGCCTTGCGCGCCGACCGTACGACATGCAAGATAGGGCTGGCAACTTTTATAACGAACAAATGTATTGTAGAAATTTTAATAATGAAAAACTTTCCAGAACAATGGTTCTACCAACCTTGTGGTAAACTTAATAAAATGCAGTTTAATTTATGTAATCAATTGTCTACAACAGATTACGGTAAAAAGTGAACAATTCGGCTTTGCAATATAAAAAATCTATTTTACAATTATATTATCTTTCTTACTTTTAAAAATCTTCTAAAACTGTATAGTATGAATATAAAAAAAACTTTGAGTAAAAATTATAGAATTGTTCAATGCAAATATTTTTTTGAAAAACAATATCTGCTGAAAACAGCATAAAATGTAATATGCCAGCCCTATACAAGGGATTAAAAACCTTTCATGTGGCGGAGCGCGGCGCAGCCTGAAAGTTCGCACGTCACTCCACGTCACAGCTACAAGGCGTAGACGGCGCTACGAATGTAGCACTCTTGTAACTTTATTTTCCTCGTATTAACAAATATTTGATGTTTCCCTTTTATATTTGTTATATTAGTAAATATATTAATTGATTTCTTTTGATTTTAATAATTATGAAATGTGTGACAATATATGTGAAAGAAAAAGACGTAGAATTCATTAACTTTTCCAAAGTCAACAAAATTCTACCAAATCGTTAATATCAAACATAAGAGTGAATTTTGATTATACCTATAGTTTATTCGAAGCATAGTCCAGCTATAAATAAGACAGTTTTCTTGCGATATCCAGAGATGTGAGCCCCACACAGTATATCCGTCAATCTAAGCCACCCTTAGCAGGCATAAACTCCGACAATCAATTAAAAATCGCACCCTCTTAGTAAAAAACAAAAAAGTCCCAGCGACATACATAGCTGCGCTCCCGGCTTCCGCGCTCGTTTATCATCCGGGTGTGTTTAAAACAGGCCGCCTGTCACACTGTAACGTAATTATTAAAATAAATTCGAATATATTTTATCATATATTTAAACAGACAAATATTTGCGATTTATGAAAAATGGGAAGTTAATTGCGACTATTATATTGACTATATAAATATTTTACCCAAACAAGGAGCAGTTTACGTCAAGCAGTTATTTAGATGGTAACATCGTACGGTTCGGCTTCTATTTTGATTTGAGTTTTGTTTTTAAATGAAGAAATATACATATTAAAAATAGATTGTAAAGTGTAAGAAAATATAACATTTTTATTAAATAACCGAATGAACGAAAATAGCTGAATACGAACAGTGTTACTCTACGTTGTGATACGCGGCATTTGCACATCGACCCTTAAACATTGAAAAGTGGGGATTAGCCTAAAACGTATGCAGAATGGAGCAACTGTGTCAATAAAAGATAAAACACTGTTTTACTTTAAAATTCACTTACACTTCACGAATTGTAGACATTTGTGAGCGATGGAGACTTATATTGAAAACCTGAGTAACAAATTTACAAATTACTTTCTATTTTTAGAGAATAAGTAGCTCTTTAATTGTGTACTAAGTCATGATACCTAATAGTAACATATTAAAAGAGTAACTTAAGTATGTGAGAAACTATAATTGTTCGATTAATCTTAATTATTTACTTAATTAAGTTCCTTATAATTATAAAATTAAGAGTTATGTTCAGTGTCTGATTATTATCAGATTAAATATTATGGTATCCTAGTCCTCATCATCAGCTCACTATACGTCCCCACCGAGGGGCTCGGAGCCTACCCTATGTTAAGGGTGATTAGGCCATACTCAACCACGCTGGCCCAGTGCGGGCCCTATCCTAATCTTACTTCTTAAATATTAATTATATAATAAATTAAATTTTCTTTGTATGCAGAGCAAACTCGGTGACCTGGAACCCACATAAGCTGATGGGCACACTCCTGCAGTGCTCCACCGTGCACTTCAGACATGAGGTTAGTGAGACAAGTTCATAGCAAAAAATTATAAAAAAACAAAGAGTTACAATAATGTGTCGAAGTCGAAAGAAGGGATAATAACCTAATAGATAAAAGTGCGACTGAGTAATATTTCATCCAAACGATTCAATGAACACTTAACATAAATATATATGTAAGTGCATAAAAAAGTTGAGTAATTTATGTTTAACCAATATTTTTAAGAAGGGTCAAAGGTGATGACTTTCGACATCTCAGCTTATGTAACACGATATCCCATTTTACTGTGTGTTTCAGTGCAAAATACTTACTTCAATTTTTTAAGGATAAGATTAACATTTTTTAATTCAGTAATTTAATACTGGTACCCACAGTGAACTTATCATTAAGCCTTTAAATACAATCACACAGTGTTGAGGAATCTGTTAATAATTGTCGTGTCATTAAATACGATATATTAATGTGTTTTATTAAAAGCTAATTGTCGGAGAAGAAAGCTGCCACAAGCTCGCAAAGGCAACTGCGTTTAACGATACGCAACATTCTCTGTTGTAACAAATAAAATATTAAATGTATGTAATTTTATACCTTATTTACTGACCATAGAAAAGGTTTTGTATTGCTTAGTGGTAGGGGAGGATGGGGCTGAAATTGGCAACATATGTTTGTAAGTGTCGGGAGGAATTTAATTAAAAGTGCCGCGTGCCGATGTCAGTTGTTTAGTGATGTACAACATATCGATATTACGAAAAAGTGTTAAAAATTATACTAATTTTTATAGTAACATATGCTCCTACTTATTCATACTTCCATAGAAAAATGTTGAAAATGTAAATATTTTTTAAATAATGATTATAATAACAAAAAGAATGTCATAAATAAAATAGGTAGTTGAGTTTTTTATTTGTAGAAACTCTCGTTACTACGTAGTATAATATTGTAGTTATCGACAATTCAAGGTACAACACTATTCCTAACTTCAACCGAGAAGGCGGAGTCTGAAAATTTATTGCTCCGCATATTGAGCTGACGTTTACAAGGCGTAATGTTGTCAGAATAACTTAAACGAAATCAAGCAAATATTTACCTTATAGTTTTGAACGTTAAGGCCAAAATCCATCTAGCTATTAGGATAAGCCACTTCTGTGTAACGCAATTTTGACTTAACAGTGGCTTAATATAATTTATAATATGGTATGCAACTGACAAACTGAATGTTTTTTTTTGGTTTAAGATTTATTTCTCGCAATGATTTAAAATTAAACATAAACATATTTACAGTTACAGGCCATATGCTACAAGAAATAAATAAAAAAATATCCAATATTACTGCAAATTACAGCAAACTGTTTATTACTTGGATGGGAAATATTAAAAAAATATATAAAATAACGATATCTTATTTATTACATTTAAATTAATACTAATAAGACTAATCGACTGAAAATAAGCAGCGTTATGTTTGTCCATGTTGATGTTAATTTGATATCGTGTCACTATATCGTAAATCTATACAAACAAGCGGACAATTTGCAATTCATATTTTCAGTAAAGGGTGTCGCTATCATCTCCGGCAGATGTTTGCTCTCAAACAAAAATGTTTACATTGAATTTTAGCTTTGGTATTGTGATTCATATCAAAACCTTTTCATCGTAAAGAAATTGATTGGGCTAAAAGTTCTAAGCGATTTCATGTACTCAAAATTGTTTTAAATCCTTAGAATAAGGTTTAAATTCCTTAGTTTAGAGTATGTATAAAAAATCTACATTAAGGGTCTTTCTTAATCACTAATGAACAATTCTAGGTATGGTCGTAAGCCAGCTTATTGTTTTTTATGTCTCTATACCATATCTTCCTAACTCTATATCTGTAGGGCATCCTTCTGAGCTGCAATGAAATGGCGGCGGAGTATCTGTTCATGACGGACAAGATCTACGACCCGCGCTATGACACCGGTGACAAGGTCATCCAGTGCGGCAGACATAATGACATCTTCAAGCTTTGGCTGCAGTGGAGGGGCAAGGTATAAAATACGATACAACTAGAAACAATTTTGATAATAATGATGCCAATTTCTCACTGTGGTAACTAAATGACACATAAAAGTAAACCGTCGTAAGTAATAATAATAAGTTGTACAATTTCAATGAGGATTAATTATGTTCAGGGTACCTCTGGTTTCGAGCGTCTCATGGACCGTCTGATGGAGCTGTCGGAGTACATGGTGCGGCGCATCCGCGAGCAACCCGACAAGTTCTACCTCATCCTGGAGCCGGAGATGGTGAACGTGTCCTTCTGGTACCTGCCCAAGCAGCTGCGCGGCCTCCCTCATAACCGGGACAAGGAGATCAAGCTAGGCAAGGTGAGATAAAAGGAAATAAGCTTTTACTAAATAAAATTATAACGTTATTAGCCAAATTCAAATTTCAAAATGGATAGACTACAGTTTATTTACAAAGCTGTACATTTTTTCGCGCTACGTAAAGCAATATCCGAAAAAATTATAACCAGCTAAGGTGGAATCGTTTTATAGTAGCACTTATTTTTATCTTAGTTTAGTTAGTAAGTTTCAAGCAATAATGTCCACTCTTTGGTTAGGTGTGCGCGAAGCTGAAGGGTCGCATGATGCAGTCGGGCACGCTGATGGTGGGCTACCAGCCGGACGACAGACGTCCCAACTTCTTCCGCAACATCATCTCCTCCGCGGCCGTCACTGAGCGCGACGTCGACTTCCTGCTCGCTGAGATGGACCGCCTCGGACAGGACATCGTTGTCGATTAGGCACATCACTACATTTATTATCTGTACCGTTTTTTGCTATCGGTTTTTAATCTATGTTACTTTTATTCTTTGATTATTTTGTCTATGACTGTCATCTTATTCTCTTAACTTTTTTTAAACAAAACAGGCGGGAAAAGTAAAATATATATGGATTATTGCTTCTTCGTGTTATATCTAATTAAAGTCGTGCATTTAAAATAAACGACTATAGTTTTTTTAGACTATAACAATTCATAAATAAAATTGTTACTAGAATTGTTTGAGATGCTCAATCGTATTTTCTCCTTGTACGAATGTTAGACCCATGATAATATTATTTATCTATTTTATAAACTTTAGAACATATATTAATTAGAAAATTTACACTGTTTAGCGAGAATTTCATATTCTTAATAAAGCAATATTTTCGAATCTCAACGCGGTATTTTCATACTAGGCTTTACGTAGATTTATAACTTCATCACTATGTAACCTCTTTAATCACTCATGGTGTCCTAAATCATTAATTTACGATCACGTACTGTGCCTAAGTATTACTCCCTTGTTAAATTTCATTTATTTTGTTAAATTGTTTTGTTAAATATTATAATTAATTTATAAATGCCTAATATTGACTTAGTCAGTTGTCCGCAAGAGAGCAGCCGTCTATTTAATGTCTATATCTCGTTATATTTATTGTCGTCTAACTGTGTAGACTTACATTGATTGTGAAAGTGTATTTTCAATTAACATACATTTTTCAAAGTTCAGCACAACACGTTTAATAACGACTGAACTTTGTTAAACGTATATTTTGAATGTTATAATCGTGTTTAAATGTTAATTAGAAATATCGTGAATACTTTAAGTGATGATGATGATGGAAATGATGATAATCAATAATGCAACTAAAAAAACTAGCGTTATCTATGTCTATATCTTAATAGTTTGAATTATTGAAATAATCAAATAAAAATAGAGTTTGAAGTTGATTTAATCTGACATTTCTAGGATACATATATAAAGATGTATGAATGGAATTGAATTAATGTAGTGCATATGTTATTAAAGGTGTATTTCCACTGCGGAAAGAAAAATTACAAAAATATTATTTTAGCAAATGACAATATTTTTTTGTATATTTACGTCTTCAGCAATGGATATATGGAAATATTGAGTTATTAGGTAAAAATACAAGTGTCGTAAAATATGAATATTTATCTGAATGTTGTATGCTAAGATCGTTTAATTTGCAATTTAGACGTTGACGTCGACTTGTATGTGTCTAATATAGTAAACCTTATTCTGAGAGCTTCTGAACAATAATTATCAGAAGAAATGTAATTCTTTATCTTAGTTTCCTCGAAACCACCAGTACAAAGGGAAAATATAAATTAGGTTATCTTGTCTATTTTAACAAGGTAACTACTGTCAGAGAACTATTAAACAGTCAGAACATTTCAGAATGATGAAACTTAATAAAAAAAATTAGATATAAATTGAGAATTTTCTCCCATTTTGCCAATTATTATATAATATTTTAGAGACGAAATCAAACTAACAAAGTTTGGTTGCGCGCTTCAATCTTTTGTTCCAATCATTTTAAAGCAATAATTTGCGCTACAGAAAACATACAATTGAAATGGAATCTGGAACAAAAACTCTAGAAAACATTAACTTCAATTAATGTTTTCTATTATACTTATTTATTGCCAGGCTTTCGTTGTTGTTAATTAAGAATGTAACTTATTTCTAAAGACATTTAGGCAATTTAATTTTAATTCATTTACATCTAAATTAAGGTATTAAGCTTAATGTATATTGAATACAAAATGTGACGATGACAATAGAAAATGTACAATTAAGAATGTGCGGCTTGAAATTTTGATGACAATAAATTGCATATTTAAATTAATTTATGAAATACATCTTCAGTAATATTTTGTGTTATATATCGTAGGAAACTTGGTATATTTAAGAAACTAATGAATATCGAAGTAGTTAACTATAATAATTTCAAAATTGGAACGAAACTATCTGTCAAATTATAAAAGTTAAAGTGTAAATATGTAGTTTGTTTAGTTTGAATAGATATTATTTAGTTTTATAGTTTGCAAAGATGTGTACTGTGTGATTTATGTATTTGCGTATACAATTAAAGCTTCAAAAAGCTTGTAAAAATGCTTCAACGTTGCCATTTATTGTTGTCACAATTCCAATAATAGATGGCGTCGTGAACAACGAATTAAGTGTTGCTAGATTTGAATCAATATTGTGCTTTAATTTTGAGATTTATGCAATTTATTAAAGTATTATACGTATTTAGCGATTATAAGAAAATACACTATCATTGTCAACGTTGTTTACATTTTAAATTATTGATGTAAAGTCTTCTAAAATGTCTTCTATGTAAAACTTATATTGTAGACGAGATATATTTGTTGTGTTCACTGAATGTTATTAAAATTTATCCAAATATGTATTTGTTAGAGCGTTCGAGAAAATTTTAGTGTTTAGATGCGATTACGTCAAACATTTTCGATCACTTACATGTGTGATTTAGCTAATATTATCCTATAATCGTAATTGTTGCTACATGTAAAAACTTGTATAACCAAATAAATGGTATTGTTGTTAGCTTTGTATACGTTTTATTATAACACTTTACATATCAATATTCAGTACAAGGAAAAGTTACTTGAAGCACTGATTCAAGTAACTTTGTTGTCACATTTGTATTCAGTTCATTTGGAATGATGGCGCTGTAGTCGTCTAAATTAGGGCCCAGCACGAATATTTACAAGCGCCTTAAATTAAAAAAAAAATTATAAATAGTTCTGTGTTTTATAATCTATGGCAAAATTCATCGAGATCCGTTCAGCCGTTCTGGAGAAACCTTCATAACATACATCCATCTAAATATTCGTATTTATTAGTATGGACTTTTTGGTGTACTTTATGGCCGATAAGAACAAATTGTCGATGACTTTGTTTCCACTTTATTTGGATAATCAAAAATAAAACGACAGCAATGGAATTTTATTTGATTTTATTGGAAACAAAATAATAATTATGCTATATATTGCACGTGACTCGAAGTCGCCAGATTCACACGCGTTTGAGCAAAACCCACTTACACTTACAATATGCCGAAACTGAACGCAGCCGCACCACGCCTGCCCACCCCTCACCGCACTGCCGTGAAGGGAAGGGCAGGGTCACACGGCAGCACAGTGCAGCAGAGCAATATACAGCGCAGTTCTACTATTGTCTAAACAGTAGTGTGCTTTCAATGGCAGTACTGCAATTGTCTACTACTCTGCGTCACTGTGCTACCCTCGTGTGAAACTGTAGCGTCGTACTGTAGATTATACCACGGCTTTTAACAAGACTTGTGCATCGAAATGTCACAACATCTGAGTGATACAATGAAAATAAAAAAGCAAGTAAGGAATGTAAATTGTTGACAAAATAAAAAAAACCGCACAATTATACAAATTACGATATAAAATTAATACTCATACAGTTTCTTTTAAGTAGATTTACTTGAAAATTAACTATAGTTTATACATTGTAGAAGAGTCAAAACAGAAGTTTGCAGTTTTAAAGATGTTTAATAGATTTTAATTTTAAAAATTTCTCAGTTTCTAAATGTCAAACTGCTGTCAAAACTATTCTATAGATAGCAAACATGTATGACGTAGACAATGTTAAATATATGGTTTAAAATAAAAAAAACGACATTGTAGCGGCTGGGGTTTTGTACACAACGGAGAACCACTTACATTATGGTCCATTTAACTTGGATATTGATAAACTGACATTTGTTACATTTTTTTAAACATAAAATACTTTAAACATCACAAAGGCGCCTTAGTAATTTGAAAAATTAAATGCAATTTAAATTTAAACATTATCTCAAACAATCACTAGTTCATATGTAGATTTGTGCGTATTTCGTATCCCCATAAGTTGCATTTTATTTATTCAAAAAAAAAATCCAAAAGTTACATATTTTTTTTAATATTTCATCAACAAAATGTCATCTTAAACAGACCATAAGTAAGTGGAAGTACAGCGAATGATCCAGATTCTCATTTCATTTCCAGTCTTAACAACATGATTGAATTAACAAACAAAATGCGATAAATTCAAAAAAAAAATCTCGTATATATAATCTAGTATAAAGGAATAATAAATGTACATGGCAACACAGGCCGTGTACGTCACAGGCGGCAACATTACGCGGTTAAAGTTAACCTAATCTACTGTGACTAGGTTTGCACCAGTTACAAGATTTAACCTTTATAAAAAAAAACATGCTAGTTACGTTCTAAGACAAACAATATGAGCTGCAGGATTCAAATATAAAATAAAATGGCGGGAATTTTGACACATGTCAATATAACCTCAAATTTACTGTTCATTCATATAAATTAAATGCAAACCAGCTGCCATATTTAAGACATTACGGATTTCTTTAAAGGAATGGCAATATGTGTATGAAATTATTTGAAATTGTATGGAAAATGTTTATTTTTACAATTGTATTGAGTTAAAACAATCATGTAAAGTAGTCACATACACAAAAATATATGTCCGACCTAATCGTATGTCATATATTCTGAGAAACATATCACTCATATGTCATTCTAAAAACTAATGTGTTTGACATTTGACAAACCTTATTTTTTTTTAGAAAAACACGATTTTTTTCAATTTAATCTTTGATAGTTTTCAATTTTTTTACAGTTATTTTTTTTACTTTAATAATTAAATAAAATTTACATTTCATAAATGTATATAAGTCCAAATTATGATTATGTTTTATACTTCTCTTTCTCACTTTACAGTTTTTCGACAGTTTACAATTTGACGACAAACAATGAAGCTACTATTTGGGAACGTCCACAGAATATATAACATAGGATTAGGCAATTAATTAAATATATAAAGCAAGTCTGAGATTCATTGATACATAATTGTCTAGATTCTCAGATCCTAACGAGATATACACCCAAGCTCCAAAAGAATATATATCTTTGTTCGAAAACAACGAAAAGAAATTACGTTTTATTTTATTCACTAACATTGGATAGTTTTAACATGACTTTATCATAAATATTGCTTTTGTTCCACCATTTCATGATTTTCGTTCAACAGATTATAAAAATTAAAACGTAATATCTTTTCGTGTTAAACTCATTTCGAAAAAAATATTCTAAGACAAAAAAAACATTCGCTCTCTCGCTCGCACGCTACATTCTCACTCGCACGTGTCACGCACAACCTCATTGTTTAAATTTTTTCTCAATTATATAACTAAATTTGTTATTACTCTGTGCTGATCTCACCAACTAGGCTTTGTTATTAAAAAAATATATAAAAATTCAGATCTAAAACTCTTAACTGCATCTGGAATGTTGCAAGAAATTACATACAAGATTTCTTCTACAAATCTTATAAAATATATAAAAAAATGACTTTGTTATTCCTTAAATGAGACTAAAGTGGTTTAACATTTACTCTTGTTATACAATACCAGAGACAATATATGTATGGAACAGCCATAGACAATCCGGTCAGCACAGAGTAAGGAATAGTCTAAACGTAGAGCGGACGTGCCGCATAATACTATATCGAGATATCGACCGTTCGGGCGACATCATTTACACAGTTTAATGTTTGCCACCATCTTTTATTTCACAACAAAATATATATTTAGCTAACAAACTTTGCTACAACTTTATATTTGATAATGGGCTAGGTTTCCACTGCGTGGATATGTAATACATGCGATATAAAACATGCACTTACTGCCACTAAGAGATTACTAAATCGTCCATTAACGTAGATGTATACATCTACTCAAAGCCACAAAGTTACCATTTAACGTTTCTGAGTGGCGGTTACTTAGAAAAATAATTCACGCGATTTATTACTTTAAATACAATTCTCACTACATATATAGAAATATATAAATAATATATACCATGAAAATAATTCAGCTAAAAAAAAACCGAATAATTGCTTTTAAGATTTCAAACATTTATGATATTACATTTAAAGGCACATAGAATTATGTTTATAATAACCCTAAGATAGAGAGCGATAGACGGGTGTTTCCCGTTGGGCCGATGATTATTTACCATTGGGCCGATGAACTTTTCCCATTGGGCCGATCGGTAAAACAGCTTAGACCAGATCCTATAAGAACTGTCAAAGTGGCAAACATTAAAACTAGTAACAAGACATCACAGTCAAATTTATATCGGGCTAAGATAAACCGACGCACAACAGACATATTCACTATATACGACGCGTCGACGTAAAACAGTTACATCTCTTATGTAATCTTTCAAGATGTAACTCTTTTCATCGATTGAGTTCCAGAATACATTATCTTGAGATTGACAGTTTTAAATTCCAAAACAAAGAGCTTTTCTGTTGTAGAGAAGCAAATTGGAATAAAACTTATTCACTAAAATATACTTAAATTGTGACTTTAATACTTTATTTTAACAAAAAAAAATATTTCGAAAAGTTTTTTCTTTCAGATCATGAATTTAAGTAATTTTAAAATACCTTAAACGTTTTGATAAGGTTATAAATATAAAGGGCAAGTTGTCTGGCTCAGTGTTTGTCTGCTGCCGTCGGCGCTGCTCATTGCTGGACTAATTTAACGCCACCTGCAGACAAAATAACAATGTCAATAAAATTAACAACAATAATACTAAGATTTTGAAGATATTTTATTGGCGTTAGGTTAAGGTAAAGTTACCCTTCCTGCCATTTTATACAAAGGGTAGTGAAAGTGACGTGTACTCACAGCACTTGGTGGGGCTGCAGGGCGGCGAGGTGTGCGGGTGAGGGGGGCACGCCGGGGGGTGCGGGCGGCAGCAGCGTCTGCGCCAGACCCTCGAACCTGCCGCTCGCTTCGAACCCGTTCTGCTGAGGACAAGTGCCATATAAACATAAGTCTAACACTAATACCATTTGCAATTACAGTATATTCTAGATAAAGTCATTTTACATAGTTGGCGGCCATTTTATATTTTATTCGAAGGCGTTTTACTAAACTACAATGAGACAATTTGGGTTTTTCCAGAAATAAGTAGGTATTGAGAGTACTTCAAGTACTTGCGTACCGTACGTACCGGAGGTGCACACATTCATAAATCTACATCTAAAAAGCGAAGGGAGTGTGTTAGGACAGCCCTTAATTGAGGTCTGTGGTCTCTGCCTACCCCTCCAGAGTTACAGACGTGTTGTGAGTAAGAATTTTCCAGTTGGACAACTAACCGGTATCATGATGGTGGGCCTCAGGGGTTGTATTGAGGGCTGCATGGCGGCTGGGTAGTATGGATAGTACTGCACGGGGTACCCGATGTATCCTGGATAGCCGGCCGCCGCTGCATACATAGCTGCTGCAGGACTATACATCTGTTGGATATAGTTATTATATAGTACATAAAATGCTTGTTAAAATAACGTAAACAGTTTCCTAAAGGTCAGTAAATGTCGTAAAACAGGTATTTAACCGTTTCACTTCGATTTTTTTGCTTATTTGTGGCATATACTACACATAATGTGCAATCATAACAAAAATTATATTATATGTTAGTTTTATAGAAGAATTCTTTATAATTTTGTTCTTAGTGCATTTATATCGTTGAAGGCTGAGTTCAACGATTTTGAATATTAAACTTTAAGCTTTAACTTTATTCCGAAATGAATAATTTTAAATTTCTCAGACAATTACGTTATTATAAAGGAATTTGCAAGGTTATTCCCAACTGCGTGAATGCCAGTTGTCAAAGATATTTGACTGACTAGCTTTTGCCCGCGACATTGTCCGCACGGACTTAATACAAAAATACATTTAGTAATAATTTTACATTCCTATATTTACTATCATATTAATTATTGTAACACGTGTTTTAATTTACATTAATTACAACAAGATTGAAGGTTATATATCCTTAGTTGATATAGCGTCACGGTCAAATAACTCACGATTAGCATAATGTAAAACAATGCAAGTATAAGCATATCATATTGTTTATAAAACGTTGAATATATTGTGTTATGTAACACATCTGATTGTATTATATGAGAGTAGGGGACAAACGAGCAGCGGTAACCCCGAGTTGTTCATCCAGGCCCATGGTAATCTACAAGACCAGAGGAACCGGAGATGCGTTACCTACCTTTGAGATAGTGATACGCTCGCTTCTTGAAGGACATTAAATCTATAAGCCACATGGGCTACTAATTGTCTTGTATGTTATATCATGTCAATACGTACGGGTAGCTGCTGGCTGAGGGCCGGTATGGCCTGATGATGTTGCAGCTGGTCGTAGGGAGGCGGTGCGTACACGCCTCCAGCACCTGCGCCCGCGCCACCGAACGCTACGCTGTACGGACCACCGCCTGCCACTGGGAACAAATTCACGTATTTATTCTGGCAACATTCAAATAGAATTGAGACCCTAGTATAAAAAAATAAGAGACAAAACACGAACACCAAAAGTGATGAAAATAGAAGAGAAAAAAAGGTACATTTAAAAATAATCACATCTGAGTCTACTCCAAGGTTACAAAAGTTAAACAAAAATGAAAAAAAAACTGCATACAAGGAAATGTTAACGTAAACCGGTAGTCCAACCAGACTGGATGTTGAATAAAGGTCAAAGTTCCGAGTTGCGTACCTACAGACAAAGTAGGTCAAACGGGACAGGTCGCGCAGCAATCGATTGCTGTGAACCAGGTTAAGCTACAGAAACGTCCTTTTAACACACTTTTGTTCAAATGGATTTAAATCTCATCTATTTCACTAATATTTTACTGAAGAAAATGCAGTCAAAATATTTATTAGGAAAAAATACTTTACCTATGATAACCCTATCAGAGTTAAACATCGTCAATTACTATCTTTTGTTTTAGAAAGATATTAAAAAGTGAATTCTTTTGTTTACTAACAGGATATATTTGTAGCAAGAATACAATTATGTTATAAATATGATTTACAAATTACATAATAGTCTTGACGTATTGTGTTTATAAGAACAAAGACGCGAGGGAATAAGGTTGGCACAATTGCGAGCTTCAAGAGCCATGACACAGCCATAATATGATTTATGCTTCAAGTACTCAGTCTTAAGGTTTTCTTACAAATGAGATTATAAAACTGTTACATCGGGTTTCTAAGCCACTAAGTGCATTTTCATTCTTTGTGCAGAAGAAACCAAATCATGATGACAATATTTATTATTTTTCTTACTTCCTGATGTAACAAACATTTCGTAATAGATTTGTAATTGTTCGACATAAATGTTACAGTACAACGCTATTGCGAATTAATTACATCACGGAAATGGCTAAATAAAAGTCCATCGGGGTCCTAATAGTAGGGCTATACATCAATTATTAAAATGTAGTAAGAAGTCCACTCACCACCATACTGAGGTGCGGCCTGGTGCGGCGGCGCTGGCAGGAAGGGTCCCTGCGGGGGTTGAGGTTGCGGGTAGGCTCCCAGGGGCGGTGTAACTGTAACAACTTGCCGCGTCACGCAGGATCGAACCCCGATCCCGCCCGACTCGCCCCGCAACCACATCTCATTCGCACTCTCACGAGGGCAACGTGATGCCGCCACGAAACATGTACAAACCAAGGAGGATTAAAATCCTCTCTTAAATCTTGCACCTGCTTCGTAGCGACAAACATTCACAGCAAACACTACACGACAATTACGCCATTGTACAGTTGTTTTTTGTGAATAGAATCTAAGTGGCAATATGTAAAATAGGGCCGCTGTGTTCTCCTAACAGTGCTAGAATTTTGTCTAAGTAACAACTATTAATGATATCTCATTTTATTCATGAAAAATATAAAGTTTATTCAATTAAGATTTGTTTAAAGAACAAAGACGTTATAGTTATTACTTAGGTATTTAGTTGCCCTCGTAAAAGACATATAACAAGTGTCTAGTAGTCTTGAATAATTAATGAAATACTGATGGTATGTGGTTGCGCCGGGCGGTCTGACGATGGTTGCGCCGCGGCGCGCCTCAACCCAAGCCCGAGCATTCACGCTAGACGTAGCGGTGTGGCAGAGACCACAAAAATGGCGGACGATACCATAGAGTATGAAAATTGTGAAAAATAACAGCTGTAACGAGTTTGTAGACACCCGCCATTTTGTAAATCGCTGCCACAGTGTAGGCGTTTGATGATATATATCATAGACAATTCGTCCGCGACCTACACATTTCGCCGACGCCGGTGTTAACGACAAGCGATGCCCATACAACGCGTTACAGAACCGCTCGAGTTTTTCCAAAATATTGACCAAGAACGGCATTGAAAAAACCCTCTGCAGTGGCCACTACCATCGGCACAGATTAGGTAAACTGGTCCGACAGCTTGCAACGGTAAATTGGTAGGTTAGGTTCGGAATCAACACAGTGTGCGAGTGCTGATCGCCTACCAAACGTTATTTACAATGCATTCCTTATAATAATGACCACACAGCCCGGCGCGCCTCTCGCGGGACAAAACAATGTGACGGGAATTAGTAAAGCAATGTGCGGTACGGAACGTGTGTGATCATTTCTCATTTAACATCATAGATAACAAAACAATCATCACACGAAAAGGAACCTTAAAAAAAGACATTAGTTATGTATATCTAGACTATATAGTCACAGAGATCAAATCCCAGTAATAGATTAAGGGCGTGTCGCGTCAGGAGTTGTTTGGATCGGATAAACGAGTGAGCCGTTCATTACATAAGCCGGGACACCGGCCCCCCATACTCTATAAATGGAACTCGAGCGCTCACTCTCACAAGCAGGTTCATTGATACATTTAAATTAAATATAATCTACTAATTTGGCATGTAATCATAAGCGAGACATGTCATGCAATAAAATACAAATTATTCGTACATAGAACCTGCATGTGAATCACTAGACGGGCGCAACTATTCAAGTTTTTCTTATTTAATTTCATCAAATAATCTTTTTTTAACGTTTTAATGTCGTTGCCCCATCCAGTTTCAACAGACCCGTAACAAACATGGTCGCTTACAACGTGGATTACACGTCGAATAACATCGATCGAAAAATAAAATAAACATTGTTGTATCTATATTAAAAGAGCTAGCAAGAACTTCGTACCAAGATTTTATGGTTTTTATTTTTCGTAAATATAAAATTTATATATGCTTTATGTATCCACAAAGAATTGCAGTAAAAAGGTGGAAAGCACTTATGCAAAAAGCGAGTTAAAGAAAAAAAAATTATGATATGAGTGCATTGAAGGACACAGAAACATGCAAAGAAGAACAAACAAAACAAAACACATCCTATAGTATAGGCAGAGGCATACTAAAGCGAAGTCGTGCCATAAACCAATGTTATTCTAAAAACAAGTATGAGAGACAGTGACAAAACATAAAATAACTAAAAATACTAAATAGCAAAACTAAAATAGCTTACGATGGATAACAGCATTATAGAAGTTGCATACGGAACACAAAAATCCTGGTAGCTTCCATCACCATTAAACATTAAAAACTAAAATTTGTATTTTAAAAAAGTATTCCATTTAAATATGGAATGCTTTTCTATTTAAACATATAGAGAAAACTATTATATTGCAACCGGCCAGTTTGTTGTCATATTTCCTTTAATCTGATATAACATCAAACTTTATATTCCAACTAAATAAAAGGTAAATTGTTAGAATTAATCAGGATCCCTGTAAAAGAAGTCTGGATTTGATCAAGCATTAATATTAGGGTGAAAAACATTTTTCCAAATCAGCGATCCTAAAACTAAGTGACTAATGGAATTGTATTAATGTCACTGATGTTTTATATTAACTGTCATACTTCCCTGTCCTTCAAATAAGCTGATGCATGCAACTATCTTTTGCTTCTAAACAGAAGCAATAGACAATATCAGTGGAAATTACTTGCCAGTTAAAAAAAAATTGGAAGTAATAACCATCTGCTTATACTAACACACACTAACAAATGTGTCATTCCTGCAACACTGTCATTTGAACATGACCAATGGACCCTTTACGTTGCAAATGGATTGATACAATAATGAGGAGAAAGGGTAAAATGGTCATTAGACCGCAAAACGTTATTGTTGTGCAATCTGATATGTTAATAATAACTTGTGTTTAACATACAACTAAACGATACAGTTTTCATTTGCAATATTAATTTGCAAATAAAGACAGTACCAGTTTCACCATCACCTCAAATAAAATTACAACAAAATGCACCACAAAAATCTTATACTTTTCAAAGTAAATTTAATTCTATTAATTTAAATAAATTGTTTAGTTTTTTCCGTAATTTTAAAGATTGTTGTAGTTTTTCAGAACAAACCAGGCGTAGATTATATTTTCTATACTTGATTTATTCTGTTTTTAGTTAGTAGAACACTCAGTCTTAATAAATAGTAAAGTTTTTATTCTGACAGATTCCATAATAAAAATTAGATAAATAATTGTGACTATAATCTAGCACATATTTACTTAATTTTGTGCTAATTTATACGGAACCAATATTGTAATTGTAATATTTCTTTGTTAAAATATGTTATGAACAAAATTTCTAAAGATTTAGTTGATTTTTCTTTCATTTATTTACTTATCAATTAATTATATCTTAATTAATTGGAACAAAACAGAAAAAAGATCCTAAAACAACAAAAAACAGAAATAGGTATCTTTGAAAACATTGGGATAAATGTCTCATAGATTAAAAAAGACAAGTTTACCACAATGTTGGTAGTGCACAAAAAAAGCTTGTTTCTAATACTGACCTTTGCTTGTTCAATGCTTTTTTACTGTCTTGAAGGTCAATATTATTTATGAAAATGAGTGTAAAAGAAATTGTAAAAAAATAAGCTGTGAACTAAATATTTATAGAAAAAAATAAATAAACATAAGAGCAAAACACATAAAATCATGTAGATATTAATTAAATGTGTGAGTTGTAGTTTATTCGTAAATATTAATTTAAAAAATCGCAAAACTAAAATTGTCAATTCAAATAACGTCCGTACTATAGTGAAAAAAAAACGAAAGACTAGAATAGATGGGAAAACTACAATTCACATCGTAACTTACACAACTTATTCCTTTACGGTTAGTTTTAACTAATAAAACTGTCAAATGCACATGTTTGATAAACAAAAAACTTGGTCACTGATCCGGATGGACTTTCATACTATACAAAAATTTCAAGCCAAAAACATCTACTGTACAGCCAACCATTTAGCTTCAAGTCAAATACATCAAGTCCCACCAGAATAGTTACATATGCAATATTACTCTAATAAAACAAAGAAGCTTGTCTATTATTTATGTTTCAAACATGTTGAATTGTCAGCTTTCCAATGATGATAACTTGATTGTTACTTCATACAAAAATCAATTCCAAACATGTTGAGCAAAATATCATATTGATTTTTTAATTACCGCAAAAGGAACTCTGTTTTGTTTTTTTCCTACATTTTTTTATGAAAGGTTACAACAATCAAGCAATCATTTCAGGTTACATTAGAGTTACACATACGATCGTCCACACGCCGATACGCACATATCATATATTGGTCTCTCTTTAACTATTTCCAAAAAAAAAGAAAAAATAAAGAAAGAAAAAGTCTATATGGTGTCATTACATGGTAGCGATTAGTCGACGGCCGCACGGCGTCGCCGGCGCACCGCTGTCGCCTCCTGTTGACGGGGCTCTGGGGGGGAGGGGCAAGGGTCAAGGGCGGAGAGGAGCAGGAATCATATTATCATTATGTCTAAACAATATTACTGGACAACAGCATCTGTCCTCAGTATCCCGTTATAAAAAAAAAGTTGATGTGTCATTTTTATCATTGTCTATGCCTGGACTTGTTGATAAAGTCCACACAAGACAGGGCTGTATCTTGTTAACTAAGAAGCTTATAATAAATTCAAAAGATTTCACGTGACATATGTAACATTATGAAGGTCATAGAAAGCTTTTAACGCTATAATAATTTAATACGAATTGTGTTTGCTTTTTTTATTCCACACATGTGGAAGTTAAACTGGACAACAATTTAACAAATGCAAATCCTGATTAAGCTTGTTGTACGTTAATATTGTTGTACTGCAATCATTGTATAGCCATAACTGCAAATGTTATTAACATCTTAATGTTGCTGTGAACAATTTTTTTTTGTAAATGTTGAAATTTGCCCTCTCTAGATTCTAGTACAAAATCTCCTGACTCCTTGAATATCTCCTCAGAATTTGTTGGAATACCTACATATTATTTTTACATATGTCACTAAGGCAGTTAATGAAAAAGAACAATTCACATATTAAAGTTATAATTCAGAAAAATAAAATAATCAAAATGCCAGGTATAGAAATTTAAAATTCCACGAAATTACAAAATAGATAGTTTTCAGTTATTTCGCTTAAATTACTTTGTGAATATATTCAATGATAACCATCTGTACAAAAATTACGATTTTAAGATAAATTGTATTATTGGAGAGTTTCTGGGAGTTAAAATAGACGTCAATAGAATAATTATTTAGTAAAAGTATCGTATAATGTCTAACGCTGCCTGAGATTGAGAAAGGACCCTAAATTTAGAACATTCCTCTAAATATTCCCCCTTGTAAGACCAAGGAATGTCATCCATCTTGGATTTACAACTATTGATCTCATCACCGAAGTAAAAAAAACTTGAAATGAAATATGTGACAATACGCCAAGTAAATTCCCTGTTTTATACATAATATTGATATTTAAAGGACAACAAATCAACTTATTGTTGCAAAAAACTAGCATTTCAAGGCCCCATGACGTTACATATGTCAACCTTCGATGTAATAGCAAGAACAAAGAGAAAATGTAATCAAAATTCATAAATACCTTTCTTGTCTGCCATTTTTATAACAACAAAGTATTTACTAAATTGTATAACACAACTAACGGATCTTTGCGAGAAAATATTTAAAAATTCAATAAAATATAACAACGTAGTCGCAACCAAACGCTTCTTCGATGTTCGATTCTCGCAGCGACACTAGTGATGCAACGTTGAGATGAAAACCGTTGCGCTGCGCAGAGCAAAAGTTGATTTAATCGATACTTGTGGAACCGATGCACAGATGTTATAAATGCATTTTCGTAGCGTCAAAAAAATGAAACTATTTTTTTTTAAAATAACACGTTAGAAATTAAGTAAGAATGAATATTTAAGTTATTATTAATCGTAAACCGCAAATCGAAATAGGCTGAGTATAATAAGAATGAGATTTTTTTATAAAACTTTATTTTGTTACATTGTATTCTAACAAACTTTGTGTTTCGTTTTACTATAAATTGGCTTTCCATGGGTTGTTGTGTTTTGTATTGTCTTACCTTCGTGTTAGTGACAGCTTATAGAGTATTTTTTTTTGTTCATTAATATTGTAAAAACATTTAGATCGCCGACCTGTCCTAGTGGTTACGGGTTATTTTAAATGAAAAACAATGAAATAAATTCAAAACATTTAATAAAAATACAAAATCCATTTTCTTAGCAAAAACACATTCACTGAATCGATTTCTATTTTTGACGACACTATATAAAGGCTAAGTAATATCCTTTTATTTATGTACAAAATGTATTACATAATATTAATGTAAGAATTCATTCTTAAAAAAACATACAAACTAAAGTTGTCTAACTAAATATTCGAATACAGCGTCCATTTCCCACCGCAGCTGGAACAAACAATTTTTAATTCAGACAAATATAACCCAAATAATAAAAAAGGTTTAAATATTCAAACAAATTTAAACGATTTCAAATACCGGAAGGGAAGCGGAGCCTATGGAAAACTATTTTTGAGTTTTTTGTTCTAAAAATGTTTATGTTTCTCTTACCTGCAAGTGGCAACATATCTTCCGTCGTAGGCACGTTGCTGGGCGTTCCGTGCAGGCAGTGGGGCGGGCAGGGCGGCGGGGACGGAGCGCGACCCACAACGCCCGCATCGTCGCCAACGTGCCGCGCGTCGTCCACCACCGAGATACATGTACCTGGTTTTACATTACAAAGGTGGGGACTAATAATTTTTTACTTTAAATTATGCCCGCTGGGTCAAATAAGTTTGTCCGTCTGTACAAATAAATTACCCAAGTATTAGGAGCTGCATCAACAAATCGATTTTTCATAACAATCGGATAAATTAATGTCTACATCCCTAATTGCTTTAGATTGACATCTGTCAAAAATCGAAAGGGACCTTTAATGTTAATAAAAACGGTTTTCAACATCATAAGAAGGAACATTAAAAACAAGTAGTTGTTTTAGAAATTACCGCTGTTTATTGCTACAGGTATAACTTGGTTTGGCACTGACAATAGTGGTTCATGACGGTGTAACTAATAATAGGGGTTTTTCTATATATAGAGGTTAGTGGTTCTACAGAAAACATATTCACCGTATAGAGTCCATGGCGAGTGAGGGCGTGCCGTCGCACTGCGCATGTGCCGGCGGCTCGGGCACGAAACGCAACGCCTCCGGCTCTATGTCGTACTCCAACTGGCACAAAATTATGTTAACTTTATCATTATTCTTTATTACTTCTAGACAATTTTATCATTGCGGTCGTTTCTCTATGAAGGCGAATTGTTTGCTCATTTGCCACCTTTGCTTAATTGCTGTACTTACGTGTAATGGCCAGGGCTTGCCGTGTGGTGCAGAGACGTTACAGCGCGGCAGTGCGTCCCACACGCGCGCCGGCATCTGCACAGTCAGGGATGCGCACTCCTCTGTACACAATATATTCTAAATCAACAACGGAGCTGTGACATCATCAGACTCGTTCAGATGTTATAAAATGGCAACCCAAAACATAGGACGATGATATCCCTATTTAAGTTCTTTCTAATCATAGTGGATATAAATATTTGCACAAGTGGCATTAAATTCAGAGTAACACATCCATTTGACCGAACAAGATCTGATCTGCTATATGTTTTAGGCAATATTTCTATATTCAAAGATATTGTGACAAAAGAGGCGAGAGAAGTGTGCCAGAAGCGCGCCAACTATGTGCTAGGAGCGTGTAGCTCACCGAGCAGGTCCGGCTTGGGCGCGGAGCCTACGATAGCGGCGAGGCGTGCCAGCGGGCGGCTGAGCGCGTCCCCGCCTCGGGCACACGCTCGTGCTATCACCACCATTCTGCGCAGCGCATTCAGTGCCACCGCGTCCGACCACATTTCGTAACTGCGAACCCATCAAACTAACAATCAGTAATTACTTATAATAAAACGAGGAAAACGGTTCTATTGTACCTATAGACAAAGTCAGTAATGACCGCCTAATGCGACCAGAGAAACGTCAATACTTATGTGAAATTTTTTTAGCACAAATTATATAGAACTGGTTGTCGCCTATGACTTTGTCAGCACCAAATTAGTCAAAAAAAGCAAAGTAGACTATGATATGCCCGCGTGCAACAGTTACCTTTCCTTCCTAGTATCGCCATAATCGATCCAGCCGTACAGACATAGAGACAGATAAAAATTTGAAACTCCATTTTTATGAATATATTTAAAAGAGTTGTACCAAATGTGTTTATATATGATCTGTTACCCGTGTGCATGGTGGTGTGTGGCGGGTGTGGCGGGTGAGTTGTGTGCGGCGGTGAGTGCGGCGAGCATGGTGAGCGCGGTGTCGAGCGCGCGCTGCAGCGGCCGGTACAGCGGCTGCATGGCGGACAGCGCGCCCCACGCACTGCCCGCGCTCGTCGCACCCTCGCCCAGGGACTCCGCCTTCGCCTCCAGCGCCAGCAGATTCTGCAATTGTTATATTAAATACAACACCTTTGACAGGTCAATGGGGCAAACACTAATGACACAACGAAAATGTCATAGACTAACATGATTTGACGTTAATCGTTGACGTAAATAAAAAAATAGTAGCCTATGTGTGGCCTTTCAGTTGATAGCGTTCTATGTGTTACCTTCTCTTCGTGTTCGTCGGGCATGTTGGAAAGTGCAGCAAAGGAGACGAGTGCTGCCTCGGTCTTTTCGTCGGGACGCAGCGACGCTGCCGCCGCGGACCAGCCCGCCAGCACCAGCTGCAGCGAGCACAGGGAGGCCGCACTGCTGGTCAGCCCCGCCACGCGGCTGCACAACAATGTTTATGATCTGTTTACACTGACGAAGCACTTCTATATATTCGTATAGACCGGTGGCCATAAGTCCTAAATTATGAGAGCACACTAGCGCCCCTCAGTCAACGTTACGTCACTTTCATCCTCTATCATTGTCTATGTCTAATCGCGATAGCAGCGTCTCTTACTGGTTCAAACATCCTTGTGTTGATTACAATTGTAAATTAAAATAATTATGTTTGAATAATTAATAACAAGACAGTAAGACTATGTTTAATCTGTCACAAAGGAGACTTTGACTGTCATTTCTCTGACCCTTTCCCTTGTATTAACTAACTACTGTTTCAACAATGAATTGCTATCAGCTATCAGTGGTGATGAATTCTACAACATTCGCAACATGTTGTGACAATGTAAACGTAAGAGGATACCTGCAGAGTGCTATCCTCAGTTTGAGCCAGTTGTGGTAGTAATACTGTTGGAAGGGTTGCGGCTGACGCTGGAAGCTCTCCGTCAATCTGATGAAAATATACATACATTTCCCTTAATTTATTTCTTAATGGTGTAAATTAAAAACAATTAGATTTTCCTAATGTTGTAGATACTTAATATATCACTTCGAGTATTATAATGGTTGATTAATGTAACAATTAAAAGACTAATCGTGGGTTTCTGAGACGAAAATCCCTGTATAAAATCGTCCCTATGTTTGACAAAAGAGACATAACAATATATTTTATAAAAGTTTTTGGTCTCAGAAACCAATGATAAATACGGTTGTGAATGTCTTACCTTTCGTACACAGCTTCAACGATGTTAGGTTTCAATGTCATGATGACATCGAGGCTGTCATACCCTGACACCATGGCGTACTCCAGCAGCATCGTGGTGTGTTGTACCGACAGTGTGGTGGCTACAATCATATTATAATAAGAACTAATTTAAAGCACCAAAAAATTATTACTCCAAAATAAATTTCTAATGCTAGGACTACAGTATCGCAATAACTCGAAGTGTTGCCTTATATCCATTAATCTCATCATCAGGATCAAATCGGTTCATTGCGGTAATGTTCTTGCGATTGGCAACACTTGATGACATATGCCACTTCGCTTTTTTTTTTATTTTTATCGTAAATTTAGTTTATCGCAACTTCACATTTGCTATGGCTTTTAATCAGATTTAACAGTGGTAGAGCCCGCTTTAACATGTTCGCATGAATTGTCCCGGCTCGCCCGGTGAAATACCACGACCACACAGAAGACACGCCTCAAGTGGAAGCTATTCCGCGTGCAGTCTGATGAGTGTACGTTCCGGAGGCCTAATATAGTTCTCTTTCCCTTCCCACCCTTTTTCTTATAAGGAGAGGATGGGAAGTGGAAGTGGACATTGCGCATGAGAGGATGCATGGGAAGGGAAAATATTTTCTTTCTGTGCATCCTCTCCTCCGTCTATTAAAGGTAGGCAACGCATATGCAATTGCGTATGTCTATGGGCAACGGTCACTTCGCATTTCAGCGATTTCAGGTGGCCGCTCGCTCGTTTGCCATCTTATGATATAAAATAAAAAAAATCAGAATGGAAGATAGTAGTATAAGAACGTAGTGAGATAATGAACCGTGCGATGTCGTGTCGTATAATTTGTATATATTTACGTATGTCAGGTGCGGGCTGCGACAGTTTGAAGACGTGCAGCTGTGAGTGCGTGTCCACCGCCACACACACCGCGCCCAGCTGCGACACCTCCACACACGACACTGTAGCCCCTCCTCCTCCTCCTCCCCCCCTCCCGCCTGCACCCTGTAGTTATATACGAGCAACAAGTATTATATGGTGCATGTCTGTTCTAAGTGTATCCGAACTTCGAAGGACCATTAATTAGTTTATGGTCCTTCGAAAGCTGGATATACTATGTGACGCATTAAGAGTCGTTAAGCAACCACTAAAGGATTGTTTTAGTATACATTTTACATTTACATTACAAGTACAGGAAATCCACTCTAAGTGACTTTAAGAAATCACATAACGATTTTGATTGTAGTTCTACATATCATATAATATGTTTGTACTTATCTTACCGGAAGACCTCCATATTTAGTTTTCTTTGGTGGTGTAGCCGCTATATCCGCTGCAAGACCACTGCCGATAGCGCGGGAACATACCTGCGTGTTTAGTATACAAATATAACTGAATCAATTTAAATTTAATAACTTACTAAAATCGATAGTAGAAATAGCATATAAATTGTAGACAAAAAAAAATTGCAACATCGCTAAATAAAGTTTAAGGGGGGGGGGGTACGGGACAAAAGCCTTATTCCCCCTACAAATGCAGGTGGTAGTACTAACATAGTGGTGGTTGTCCCTGTTGAGTAGATGCAAAGCGGTGGGCGTGGCCAGAAGCACGTGGGGCGTGGCCAGCGGCAGGCGCACGCTGCCCACGTGTGTCGCGCCCCCGCCCCCGCCCTCCACCTGCCACACCGCCGTCTGCTGCCACACCTGCACCCAGGTATCATACTTATTGATTATGGATAATTTTATCAAAATTGGAATTAAGGAATATTTGAAGAAAAACGATGCTGAATACTAACTTAGGAATAAAAAATAAAGGAATTACTTACCACAGTATTAAAACATTCTGTAGGTGCTTTTGGACCACCGCCAGGTGTAGTGTTACCTTGCACAGGACCTAAAATTCGGTTTAATATTAAATTAAAAAAAAATCAAAATCTGTGTCATAATTAAGGCACACAAAGAGATAAAGTCTTAAAAGGTTCCTCGATCTGTCATTGTGGACATGTCGATATAATAAATAAAACAATATTTTTAACAGAATATTATTCAGCAACAATTACCTTTGCTGAGCAATTTGTGCACAGGGTAGGAGCGCTCTGCCAACTTCCACAGAGTCAGTGTGGAGCCAGCGATCAGTAAAGAATCTGTGTCTTCCCGCAGACACCATGTTATTGATACTGTAATTATATACAGAAAATATTTATTATAACCAGCTGTCTCCTGCGACTTCATCTGGGCGGAAGTTAAAAATAAAATTAGTAGCCTATGTGTTGTTCAAGGCTTTATTCTACATCTATGGCAATTTTTCATGATCTGGAGATACCTTCTAACAAACATCCATCTATTTAAACTTTCGCATTTATAATATTATATTATATCAAATTATAATATAATTTTATAGGACATTAACAAAAATTTAAAATTTTATAAGTTTACCAAAATTAATTAAAACCTTGGACAGCCGATTTTAGTATACTTTTGTTATAATATTGTAATATTTTGGATGTTACAGTATTAGCCTTGCGTTTCCACTACTTAAATATTAATTCAAAAACAAACTGCTATCTCTCTTTTTCCAAAGAAAATGACAGTTCATAATTACAATTTACTTTCTTAACATTGACAAAATTAAACAAGCAATTTTGGAAATAAAGAAAAAATAATTTTTAACTTACCAGGTTCATGATCCAGTAAATATACAGTGGGTAGGGGTTGTAATGTTAGTTGTACGGGGGCGGCGCGCGAGCCGGGGGGGCGGAACACCGCGCACGCTGCGCACCGCACCCCGCGCTTGCCCCCGCCGCGCCAAGCAGCTGCTATCAGTATACTGCCATCTTTTGACCAAAAGTCGACAATATAACTGGCGCCATGTACCCCAGAGAGGTAGTCAGAGGGAGGCAGACTATGGATTTCCATTCTACGCAGTCTTGGCAAACAAATCTCTTAGGGTCTGTTCACGCAGGCCGGGGCGGAGAGTTAGAGCAGATTTTTATTGCAAATGAAATTAACCTTTATACGATTATTTTACTCTCCACTCTGGTCCGTCTGAACACACCCTTATATATCCACAGAACAACAAATTGCATTTCAATGTGCAAAAAGTTACAACTATATTGCCATTATAATCTGACTTTATCTGAACCGGTGATGCAGTTACATGGTTACATAAACATGACAAGATAATCTACAATACAATGATCTTGTGACAAGGCTTGCAATTATATTGGCAAGTTTAGTAACACACAATATGTCATATGTATAAAGAAGAACAAACCAAGTTATCAATTCAAATAAGACACAGTTTACCTTTAAATAAAATGTGTTTAACTAATTCTTACTTTTATGTGCAAATGATGCAGTAGCAATATGATCCCTGGGCGAGCGGAGACAGTCGGAGGCGACGAGGGCACGATTGGAGTCTCCATTGGGAGTCAAGGCACCCACTAAACCGGTACCCGTTATTATACAGGCCCCTTCACACGCTACACCACTATTGATACAAAGGTACAAAGAATTTTTAAAAAAAAACCACCAAAAACCAGACTACAAATCAAATAAAAGTATTGTATTAAATTAAAAGTTCACAAAGGTGACCGAAGGGTTAAGCACTTGACTTGTAATCTTCAGGTCCGAGTTTTGAATCCCGCACTGTGCCAATCTGTTTTATGATTCCCATTTTACACATGCACATTTATCTAATGCTATATATAGTGAGTTGATTTGAAGGGTAATGTTGATTGATGCAAGTTCATATTATTGATTAAGTTGAATTGTTGCATTGCTTTTTTAATACAAAAGTTATTTTTGTCATATTTGGTATCCAATTATCTTGGTTTTGTGCAACTCTGCATAAATCATTAAAGATTATTTATGGCAAGTTTCTCACCCAAAACCTTTGAGGGTAGGCACATATCGTAACATTTGTATTCTATCACTGATTGGTACATCCGGTTTCTTCTCAACAGCGACAACTTTGCGACCATTATGAAAGAATACCGCCTTTATAATGTTTTCACCTGGAAAAGATATAATAGTTCAGGATATTAGCCTCTTCTTATTATTTGAATATTATATATAGTATTCGTAACAAATATCTTAACAAGATTTTAAAAACTTTGTATGTGAAAATTCTGACTAAAACTATTATCAGTTAATATTAATCAGTATAAGATATCTAGTTTTATACTTTCTTGAACAGAATAATATCTATGTAAATTACTTATGTCTCTATTTAACTTTAATATTTACATAGAAAAAAAAAGCATGTTCCTATTGAAAAAGACATAAGATATGAAGTAACCTGGAAAGTAAGCTGAGTATAGACAAGACCATTCATTAAGCAAATAGTCCTTCTGTACATATATGGACACTTCACCAACTATTGTAGCTATCAACAGCTGTTTCCCTTCTCCGTCCCATTCTAGAGCTGACACCTGGAAAATATACATAGATATAAATAGATAGATTCCCGCTGCTTGTTTGCCCCCTTCTGTTATAAAAAAAAAGATTAATATATGTCTCATATTTTTAAATATTCAAATGAACTTGTGTGTTGAGTCGGAGGTATGGTACATGTTTAATTTAGATTCAATTACATTGAAAGGGTGAAAGTTGTATCACAAACCAATACATGAGAGTATAATGGTAGTAAAGAGAAATAGGAACTTTTTAAATATACCCATATAATTTTAAACAACAAAATACTTGAATTTATTTAAATTATGAAAATTCTTTGATTTCATTGGGACTGTGAGATAGGTATACCAATCTATGGATATAAAATCATATACAAATGTATTACAATTACTAAGTTGTTGTATGTTTATAAAACTTACAGGATGAACAGTGCTGGCTACTTTATGACATTCCCATGGGGTATCAAGATCACATATATAAACATGACCGCCCCATGTATCTCCATCAGTGTCCGATAATTCGGTTAATGATGAAAATGCAATTATATTACACGTTGATATCGTACAAATCGGCTTCACTACTTCTGGATCCGCATTACTGGAAAATATTACACTTTAAACCATTGCCTAGCTAAACACATTCCTCGTTTTGTAACGTAACATACTTCTCGTAATGTGGCGGTTCACATTTTAAAGGCTTCCGTCTCATTGAATATATAAGTTCCATTTTAAATAAAATGTAAGCGCGAACTTAAATTAATATTATTTAAATTTAAAAACATTTGTTGTGAATAAGTGTTGTGGTAACGAGCTTGACATTTTAATATGTCATCAGTGTCAAATAGGTGTCAGTGTCATATCAGGTCACTATCATTGTCAAGAAAACGAGAATGCATCCTTGGTTCCCTGAGAAAACAAAAACGAGAATGCTCAATTAGATTTTTAATTATTAGAAGAATTTTGAGATAACAGTTTTATTAACCTCATACTCATATAATATCACATTGATTACAGTAGAAAACATCAAAATCTTACTTGCTAGACTACATTTTAATAACTTCATTTCAAGCCAATCAGTTCACAACAATCAAATCAAAAAAAGTTTGATTTTACTTTAAACTAAGTAAAAATTATTTAGAAAGACCACCTTTTTTCATCCATAGAGAAGTCATTATTTTATATCCTCAGCATCCCTAACTTGCGATGCAAAAGGGACAACTTCACTTCAATCCCTCATGTTGTTCCGAACGTTGACCTTTCGGTATTGAGTTTGAGCCGGGTTTTCGAACGCAGCAGTGAGCAGTGCTTGCTTGAACATGGCGGAGTATTCGGTTTGATATCAGCGTTGTGACGATCAACGAATTATTCATTTTTAGTGGAATTTTAAGTGAAAATGTGATAACTATGAATTATAAATTGTAGTGTAGTGTTGTTGTAGTGAATTGAATCATGTGTCGGACAGGGATGTATCGCTTTGGAGTCGGTAACTGGATTTTCTTGTTGGCCTGCATCCATTTGTTTACATGTGCCGAAGGTAAGTCCCTTTCTTCTAAATATTGCCGTTTAATATCGATCGGCAAATCGTGTGCGGCGTGTTAAACGGTTCTATTTAATTAAAATATAATAAATAAAATTACAATAAATCTGTTCTACAATTTTAATTTAAAAAGCGTTGAATATCCGCAAATATAGAGTTAAGATGCGCTTTTGGTATTTATTTATCGCGGTTGCAACAGTAGTTTATTTACGTTAGAGTAATGGTTTATAGGTGTAGTTGATTACGAGCGGGCGTTAATGTCCAAATGATGGACGGGCACGGCCTGGGTGCGTATTTATCGTGCTTTAGGGCTCCGCCGACGGCTCCGCGACCGACAGTAAGACGCTGTAATGACGCTCCGCTGAGTTTAATTCATGGTTATTGAGCGCTTTGGGGGTGATTAAAAGTTTTATTTCTTCAGTGGGTTTATAAATAAATGTTTAACGTCGTAACTTTGTAACTGTTTATAGCCCTAGAGTGTGAGGTAGTTGATAAACGGGAGCTTTATATGGGCTTAATAAGACTTAACATCTGTTTAACTTTTTTAAAATGTTACAGCTTTAACAAGAAGAGAGGCGAAGTGTCAGGGTTTTCATATCATTGTTTTATAATACGCAAACTTTTCAAGTGCGTCAGCCCTGACATCAGAAGCATTTTCAGTTTCAAAGTACAACAATAAGCGGAGATTCATTGGCTGATAGACTAATATACGACCACCCATATTGATAATAATGACAATTAACTTTATTGATGAAAAACAGATAAATTAATGATTCAATTCATTAATTACTAAGGTAAATAAGACACGTTATATACCTACTTGTACTTCAACATGTACACAAAAGCTCTAGTCGTCTAGATCTTCGCTAGCCGACATCGAGTGCAACACAAGTTTCTTATAAGCTTAATATTTCTTTGATTCTATATGTTAATATTATAATTTTATAATGTTTGTGTTCATAATTCCAATTTGATTTAACTTGAATCCAACATGAACGAGAACTGCAAAGCACATTTTTAGCGTCATAATTACATTGAAAATATGACAGTACATGTTTTTCAAACTATACGAATATAAATGAAGAAAAATTTAAATATAAAATAGATATTAAATAGGTGTTTTAGTAAATGATGAATATGCGCGAAAGCGATAAAGGTGCGCTTAGATCGCGGAATTTCGTAATCTCTAAGCTTTCGTAGTAGTACACAAGTTACTGGAGAAATATGCAGCTCTATGTGTAGGCGGGTTTACTAAATACATATAAATACATCTACATGCAATTCAATAACATCACTCGCAACAATGACAACTCACTGCTTGCAAGCGCAGTTTCTTAGCTACAAATTAAAAGCTCCCGTAATGTTAAGCTGGAAATAACCCTGCATTAGCGTGTCGGTGAAGCCAAAGCACGCTGCACAGCTTTGTACTGCTTAAAGAATCCATGGCGGCTTTAGAAAGCTTGTCGGATTATGCGGCGGTGGTCGGCGTGTTGGTGTGTCGGGACACATGCGCGATATGTGCCGATATGTGTTTGTTTCTCGTTTCTCTGTGTATAATTACTTTAAACAATGGAAAATGGATTAAAGAATGTTTTATTTTATTTTATAGTATTATGTAGTTAGAAATGTTTGTTATATTTTAGTGTTGTACAAAATTTTAAATGTTTCTTGGTATTGTTACAATCGGAATAATGTTCAAGGATCAAGGCAAAGGGTTACAGTTTATCACTTTTGTGATATGTCAATTACGTAGCGAATAGCTATGATATATCTTGTTTTCTTGTTAAATGATGGAATGTTTGTTGACATACCAAATCAAGTCAAGACATACCAAGGAGTCAATTAAAAATCATTGCCTCAAAAAAAAACGAATTATTTACATTACGATTGTATTACTTTCTTGCTAAAAGAATGAACAGAAGCTGAACACTTTGTTCGACCAAATCGAATCAAAATGGGCACATCGTATTTCTTCATCAGAAATGGCATTGCTCGAACATCGATTTGGCGTTTTATAATGCTCTTAAAAATACTTTACTGCCGTCTTTTCCGCTATTTCTGTCAACGGCCTTTTTACGACACCCCCTCCCCCTATAATTTGGATTTATTCCCGATCCACCATTACCCGTGGGCCTATAGGTTGGGCGATGCATTCACCGGGTCACGTACCCGTCGTAAATCAGTCCCGGGTTCGATTCCGTCGAGCGTTGATTTGCATTTTTATTCACCTTAATGTAACGCTGATTACTGCGGTGCGTGTTTTTTGTTGCTTTTTAAAAACGTGTCCAGTTACTATAGTTTTCGTTGCATACTTACAATCGGAATAATGTTTTTGAATACCAATAAAATAATAGCATATAATCTTTGTACCATATCAATATGTAATTGAGGCCTTTTATAAAACAATTGCATAGTAAGACAATGGTCATGTCATAGTATCAACTGTTTAAAAAAAAAATGCGTAATTTAACAAAACTGTTTGATGAAGATATTTATATATTATTTTTAAAAAGATTTATGTTACGCGTAGAAACAAGCGGCGTCCTGATGAAGTCCTAGTAATTAGCGCCATTAATTAATCGAAAGAGGCTCGTTAATTAACTGAATATACCGCAGCGTACTCCTCCCCCTCCTTATGGTTATGTTTGCTAATTAGTTTAGTATGTACGTTTTAATGAAACACTTGTATGAGATATTCATTAAAATTTTTCCTTTGTGAGAATTTGTGAGTTTTGGCATCGATTCGTAATAAAAATAAAATGTGAACGGTCCTTTCATGCCACTCTTTTTCGTATTTCCTTCATTCCTTTTAAAATGTTATACTTAAAAAAAGGAACAATAAAAGACAAAGACTGACAATTATATTGTCAGATTGTTATATTTTCTTAGTAGTAGTAGTAGTTAGTAATTTTTTAATTATTTTTCTATTAAAGATTCAAATAAAATTCAATCTTTCCATATTCTTTTTAACTGATATAGTGTCGTATTTTACAAAGACGTATCTTCCCCGTTTTTTGTTGAAGAAAAGGTTTTGAATGTTTATATATTTTTTCCGTTCGCAATTATCGATGATTCATGTACGAGTAACATCGATGCGTCGGCGCATGCTCTCAACGATTGCCAGCGAGAGAGAAGAGTGCAAAGGTACAGAAAGGAAGGGAAGACACAGTGCATTAGTGATGCGCGAGCGCAGTAAACAAATAACTGCGCCCATTGTATCGACTGACGAAATCGATTATTTTTAAATGTAGTTTATTTTTTAATGTTTGTAGAAGCTTTTATCTGTTTCCACGCCAAGCTTTGTAATAGTTTGTCTATACGGTTTTTTTTACATATATAGACTGCCGCGTACTGATTACATACTAGGTTTGGTTTTAAATATAGTAGCAGTATACCTTAGCATGTACATTTATTCCACAGCCATGCCTGTTCATTTCATCACACGATTATTAGCGTATTGCAGCTGCGCTGTTGCGAAATACGCGAACATAGAAATATAGGCATACAAACAAGTTCTGTAGCTTCACGCTTTGTTACAATGTTGTGGATTTAATGTCGTGTTGAATTTGTAATGGTGTTTATTTGTTCCTGACATAGTAATAAGTTGGCTTCCATGTTATGATCAGTCAGCATTAATTAAGGGCTACTTTGCGCCAATGTATGTTACAAATGTATTTGTTTGGCCCAATATTTAGTGAACCTCTTATATTTATTTGAATATGGAGAGACATGAGTGAGATGAAGATGTCATGGACATAGCGAAGTGGAAGAGACGGATTGGGGAAGAGTCAACCACCTTGTTGGGATGCAAGCTAGGGAGAGAGAGATAGAGATGGAATATAAGTAGCTCCTCTTGCTGAAGTCTCTTTGATTTAATATTAATTTTGGGGACAAAATCCTGTCTTTAGTTTAACTCTTTTTAAATTTCAATAGTGAATATATTTCAATTCTTCTCAACCTAACTCTTATATTAAGTTTCGGTAAATTTCTCTATCGTTTTTTACGATGTCTGGTACATATAATTTCAAGTACTATATAAATAGAAGTTATAAAAGACGATAATAATGACTTTATTCACGTGAATCATGAAACCAGATTGCAGGTAACCGCAGGTTTTAAACGCGAAGAGATCTCCCACACAGTCGGCTGTGGGCGTCAAATGTTCTCCATAATACCAGGACTTCATTCCAATGCTTTCGACAAGGTGTAAACTTTGCCGAGGCCAACTCGAGTCAGAGGTGTTAACACGTTCAATGATATAAAATTATGAATATAAATTCGAGGGGCGAGTCGGTGGCACTGTACGTGTTACCCTAGGTATGTCGTCAAATCTACACTAATAAGATAAAGATTTGTGTTCTTGCATGTAACGAATTAACTCATAAACTACTCGATTTAAAAAAATCTTTTCCCATAAGAAAGCCACATTATCACTGAGTAACATAGGTTTTATTTATGACTAGATGTTTTAATTCTTTGCGGACGGTGTCGCGGGTATAAGCTATAGCTGATATAAATTTGGTTAGCTTTAATGCAGGTAAATAGGTCATAAAACTAAATTTTTAGCTAGCCTTTTCCGTACTCATTTGGAATGAATGTCACGGTAGAGTCAAATGAAAACACTATATTAAGCAATTTGCATTCATCGTTTGTTGTGAGATTTTACAATTAAAATAAAATCTTAGGAAACTATGGGTATTTGATTTTCATATTTATGTGAGCTGTAGAGATACTATCTAACCGTTAACAACTTATTTTTAATGACCTTAACCCTCGAGCTTTAGAGTTTATGGTGCAAAATTATAGATGCAGTGCTAGCAATGGTAATATTGCCGCGGTCCGTTATTGTTCCCTCACGCCCGGCACTCTGACCGACGGTTAACGTGTTTATCTACTAACTATATTTACCAGCTAGCAATATTAACTCGTAAATTAATTTTTTTTTAAATTATATTTGGTGGCAGACCTGCAATCAGCCAGTGCCGGTAGACATCCGA